GAAAGATAGAAAAAATCTCCGATCGTAGAGTGTGAATATGTGTGCAGAAAGTTAATTATATGCAGAAATTCTTCCTTTATATTACTAGTCTGGTATTGTAGATTTTAATGCGTAATACAGATTAATCTACACATGCATACATACATACATACGTACATACATATATATAAGCATATATATATATATATATATATACATTTTGACTTACTAACAAATTATACCAATGTTCTTATGTTAAATACACCTGCTTCATATTTACTTATATACATATGTATTTAGTACGTTGTAATAAATATAGCACTTACGACCATAAACTAGCATGAGTCATTATTATTAGTATGAATGGTTTGGGTGATTATTAAACATTTCGCATAAAAGATAAGAAATTAATAATTATTCCTTTATCTGCATATAAAAGAATCTTTCACTTGCCAAGTTGGTTAACTACACTTTTTAAATTTTCTTTTTTTTATTATTAATTATAATGTCAAAGCAATTGCTTGGCCCCTAATCGTATATCTATATATATATATATATATATATATATATATATATGTATATATATACATATATACACCCAACGAATTTCTCTAATTAAGAACAACAAATGGCCACATTTTTTTTTGAAGTTACTTCAGAAACCTTTCATAATGAGAATTTTGTTAAAACAATTGAACTAAGTAAATAAAATTGATATTTATATGAAAATTGTTTGCTGGCGTTTTCCAAACGTAACGAAGCAATTCCATTACGTTTCTGCACTTTTAGTCTTATGGATTTAATCAAATTGGCAAGTGAGGTATTCATATACTTTTCTTCTTTCTTAAAATGTATATCAAAACCAAGCCGGCCTTTTATATGTATCCACATATGCTTTTCATGCTTCGTCTATGCCTCTCTCAGTCAATCTTAAATTAATTTTTTTTTTTTTTCCTTTAACATGAATTATATACATACATGCATGCATAAGCAATTTTCTTATTTGGATATTTATATAAAGTTATTATTGCTTCTGTATAGTTGCGTCTCGTTTTCCTTTGAGAAATATTTAAGTTGCTGCTTTCCCCTTTACATATAACAGAACCGGCTTTGTTATTTGACTTGTTCTCTTTTTCTGTTGTTTTCTCTCTCGACTTTTCTTTTTGTTTATTACTCTCTCTCTCTGTCTCTCTCTCTTTCTTTTTTTTTCTCTCCCTCTCAATATCTGCGTTAGGTAGTCTGAAAATAGTCACAAAACCCAAGCAATTTCTATATACAGTTAAGGCTAGTGCATATTTAAATGGTAATGCTGTGTTTTCAATGCGTTTATGGGAGAGTGTTTAAATTGTTTTCTTTGCTTTTTTTTTTCTTTTTTTTTTTTTTTTTTGTTATGGATGTTGGTTGTTGTATGCCGTTTTTTGGCAAGTGTCGTTGCCTTTTTTATATGAAACGGAGGGAAATTTTTTATGTTGCAAAAATAAAATACTCAAATAAGGATATAAAATAATTAAATGACATTTAAGGTTTTTTTATTTTTTAATTTATCATTTCATATCCAATTACATATAAGAAACATTATAAAAAGAAAATGGCAGGGGAGATGATTTTTAAGCATGTTAGCATTACGCTTAAGAAGATGTACATATGCGAAAACCATTCCATTAAAAAGTGCATTGAAAAGGACATCGAAGTTATTAAAAGCTTTGCAGAAGTTCATAAAACAAAGAAAGAAGATGATCATGTATACCTTCTTGTACAATTAGACAATCTGAGATATATTAAGTCCGAAAATAGATGATCCCGTTACCACATCTATTATAAGTGAAGCAGGATATAGATAATTTGTTTAATTAAATTCAACAATTGGAAAATGTCAGACCAGTAGCACACCTCTGAAATATCCCTTCTTGACTGATCTCTTCTTATATTTGTCTAGCCGCTTAAAGTCTATCCTTTACAGACGTCTGGGCGCGGTGGTGATCGGAAAGAATCATAACAAGGTAAACAAGAAATCTTATTTGTATAAAACTTGAAAATACGAACATCAGGACCCCAGGTCAAGAAACTGCTATTTTTAAGCAAGTTTACCATTCTCATTTTAGTCTTCATAATATGTTCTAGATCAAAGTGGATTAGCAAAACACCGATCGATATATGCCGTCTATCTTAGATAATAGATTAAAATATATTGAAATTACGTGGTTAATTTGCACTCTGCATATATGAACGGCTCCAAATCTAAAGAGATCAACTAAGAACATACTGCAAATCCCGAATTTCTATTACAATCTTTGTTTTCTAAGCAGTTCTAACAACGCAATGGATAGACTAATAGAAATAAACCACCTAAGAATCCCTGACTGATCAAAAATATCGAGTCCTCGATGAGTCACAAATGAAATGATGCCATTTCTGTAGGAAACTGTGATCAGTTAGTTATATATAAGAATTTCTGCACGAACAGGTAGTATTCAAGCATTCAGTGAATGTAACGTCTTATAACAATTTCTCGCAAAATAAATGCTTACGGTTAAGTAGAATTGGATTAGGATGAAAAATTTTCCGAACTAGTTAAATGTTAATGCGATGTAATAGATAAGTATCTTTGCACTTAACAACACAATAATAACAAAATAGCCCTGTAGTACGCGTATCAATTAATACTAAGCCAGTTGTTATCTAAAAAACTTTCAAAAATGATAAGAAAATATTTAAAAATTTTTTCAAGAACTGATAACTTCTTTTTCCCAATAATATTCTTTTTTTAAGAACTATTTATGAATACATGTATACTAAAATAAAAAAAGGAAAAAAAAAAAAAAGAAAACCATAATGCTTTAAACGCAAATGTTATCAATAAGACGAATGATGACTGAGGACTGAGTCAGAAAAAAATAAATTGTAAGCAAAAAGTTTAATAAAAGAAAGCGACAGAGAAGAAGAGAAAGAGAGTTATACAAACGAATCAAAATCGCCAAGTCTCTCAATTGGCTTAATAGATATTTAACAAGCTCGTATTTTGTTGTGAAGCCTTTGTGGTCTAAATAAAGAGAACAAGAGAGCATTCATTTCATTCATATAATATTATATGTGCATACATATATCGTTATTCGTATATATATATATATATATATATTATAAAAAAAAGTATTTATTGATGTTAGCGCTGTTGTTGCTTTAGCTTTATTTCTCATGTCTTTAACGGGTTGATTTTCAACCGCGTGTATCTATATATGAACACATATGCCTTTAAGTATTGTTTACACAAATGCAGGTTTACTCACTCACCAGTTGAAATTCTCTGGAAATATGGCAACATGGTTGTGCATCCATTTCCATATATGGTAAAATGTCTGAAAATCGTCGGAGAATTATAATCAAACGCGTTTATGATAAGGGTGGACGCCTTTATAAACGCTTGTAACAACGAGTTTTACAATCATTCAGTAATTTTGCGTTCTTGTGCTGTGTGGTTTTTAAAGCTACGACGCGAGAGTTTCCAAATTAACGAACAAAAAAAAATCTAAAAAAAAAAAGCAAAGAAGAAAAGACTTGTAATTATTATATATTTATTTAATTTTAGTAACTAAAAACAAAGAGAGAAAGTAAGTATTTTAATTAATAATAAAAACGATAATGTCAACATTACTACAAATTGAGTAAATGAATTAAGTGTTTTGCGTTTGAAAAATTGTTCGCCAGGATCTGTCTGAAACGAATAAAAAACATGGATTAATGTGGAAAAGTGCTCAATGTATATACGTATATATCCATATATATATATATATATATATATATATATATATATATATATATGTATATATATAAAATTATTAAATTCGTCGATTTATATAATCTTTAAAAATTCAGCTGATAAGAGAGATAAGTAATATCAAAATTGATGACATTTTCTGAAGCCAAAGTCCAATTCAAATATAATCAGTTTATTATTATATTAAATATTAAAAGAAGAAAAACAAGGGTAATGTCTGCTTTCAAATCAAGCCACACTTGAGGTTAATTGTCATGGTGTTTTGCAAAAAAAATACAGAAGAAAAAAAAATGTTTAAGAAAAACTTCAAGTAATAATTGAAATAAATTTCGTATTTGAAGATTTTTCTCATTTACTTGATGTTTACACGCTTTTTTTTTTTTTGTTTAATGTATTCTTCTAAAAACCTATTTATAACAACAAAAGAGGATTTTCTGCGGAGATGAAATGAACACAATTTTTTTTTTTACTTAAGAGTAAATTTTTTCTTCCTGTTTTGTTACAGACAAACGTAGTGATCATCCGTTTTAATCTTGGTTTTATCCCATTCATTGTGTCATCATTTTATTAATGAGAAAACTGCATTTCTTAACCGAACGTATCTAAATATGGTTTCAATTTTTATCAATTATTTCAGCAAAAAATTTGAACTTGACTCATTTTTTAGCTTCCGTAGATTTGTTCTAAAAAAAAAAAAAATGCCGGTTTTTAAAATTGAAACCATTAAAGGCAATTTTTGAGGTAAATGCTTTTGGGTTTGCGGAGTGTTCGTGTTACGCTCATTTCTCTCTCTTCGCATTTATGAAGTAAAGATTTATGCACGCTTATGTACTCTTCAAATTTCACCATTCCTATAAATAAAACGGGAGGGGAATCGTGTATATTTCTTCACGATTTATTAAATTTTCACTAAACATGACCATATATGGTCACAAAAATAGTAACTCTGTAAATTCAGCAGAATTCAAGCTTAACTTGGCTAAGCACGAAAGAAACAGATAGAGCGTACATATTGTGCATGTCTCTACATGTACACAGCGCTAGCGACAGAGATAGCTATAGTAATGGGCAAAGTGTGGGTTTTCTAGTTATTATTTACAAATATATACGTTGATATACACACATGCATATGTAAAACCCTATTCTCTTTACGCAAGCAGATTCATATAAATTCGCACACATGCAAGAAACACGACTATATTTTAAATTATTTTAACTGGCATTTTCTTCGAACCATTCATAGTCGATTCGTCAAAGTAAAAGGTTGTTTTCTCTTTGTACGCCGCAGTCATTTTATTTTCTAACAGTACTAAAAAAATTTTCGAGGATATTGAGATTGCAATTGTTATTCAAACAATTATACAATAATTACATAAACGAACGTCGTCGTGATTAGTAGCCAACGTGTTAAATATTTTCCTCGAAGAATTTCCTCTGTGTTCGTCTTTTTTTAAACAAAAGAAAAAAGTAAGAAAAGAAGTCATAGACCATTTATACCACTATATGGAGAAAGAAAGGAGGGTTCGACACACATTTTCTATAATAGTTGGCTAAAGAAAACGCGGTCTAATAACGTACTATAAACCGGCTTATTTTTTGCATATATTTTTCAAGGGCGTTGGTTGCACATTTTGCAAATGACTTGAAAATAAATAAAATACATAAAAAAAAGTAAAAGAAAAACAGTTTCGTCTCGCTTGTCTGTTACAGTATCGTAGAGAATGTTGATTTTTCTCTCGCTTTTATATCTCTTCTAAATGGGAGTTTAACATGCTTTGATTTGATAATGTTATAATTTGTTTTGAATATATAGTGATAAAATTTCTGGCTTTGAGTTTTCAGTCGTTTTATTTATTTATTTTTATTTTTATTTTTTTTTTTGAGAAAAATTAAAAGATATATATTTCGAAAAATTTTCCTGAATTCGCCTTTCATTTAAAATTTTCGCAACAAAATTAGTGTTTTAATTAAGCAAATTGTTATAAACGTGGGCAGCAATTTGTCGTCCGCTCTGCAAGATTTAAATATGTGTAATTAGAATAATTCTCGATTTTTCTTCCGCAATTCACATCGCGACAGTCCATTTTAGCAAAAACAAAATTTTATATAATTTCTATTATTTCTGTTAAATTTTTAGCAAAAAAAAATGTGTGACGAAGAAGTTGCTGCCTTGGTTGTTGACAATGGTTCCGGTATGTGCAAAGCCGGTTTTGCCGGTGATGATGCCCCCCGTGCCGTATTTCCTTCGATTGTTGGTCGTCCCCGTCATCAGGGCGTTATGGTCGGTATGGGACAAAAGGATTCATATGTCGGCGATGAAGCTCAAAGCAAACGCGGTATACTTACATTGAAATATCCTATTGAACACGGTATCGTTACCAATTGGGATGATATGGAAAAGATTTGGCATCATACCTTCTATAATGAGTTGCGCGTAGCACCCGAGGAACACCCTGTATTGTTGACTGAAGCTCCATTGAATCCTAAGGCCAATCGTGAGAAGATGACTCAGATAATGTTTGAAACATTCAATACACCCGCCATGTATGTGGCCATTCAGGCTGTGCTGTCATTGTACGCTTCCGGTCGTACAACTGGTATTGTGCTTGACTCAGGCGATGGTGTTTCTCACACCGTGCCCATTTACGAAGGTTATGCCCTGCCACACGCCATTTTGCGTCTTGATTTGGCTGGTCGCGATTTGACCGATTACCTCATGAAGATATTGACCGAGCGTGGCTATTCTTTCACTACTACAGCTGAACGTGAAATTGTGCGCGACATTAAAGAAAAGTTGTGCTATGTTGCTTTAGACTTTGAACAAGAGATGGCCACAGCTGCCTCTAGTTCCTCTTTGGAGAAAAGTTATGAATTGCCTGATGGTCAAGTGATTACCATTGGTAATGAACGTTTCCGTTGCCCTGAGGCACTCTTCCAGCCATCATTCTTGGGTATGGAAGCTTGCGGTATTCATGAAACTACTTATAATTCCATCATGAAATGCGATGTGGATATTCGTAAAGACTTATATGCCAATACCGTGTTGTCCGGTGGCACCACCATGTATCCTGGTATTGCTGATCGTATGCAAAAGGAAATTACCGCCTTGGCTCCTTCCACTATGAAGATCAAGATAATTGCTCCACCAGAGCGTAAATACTCAGTTTGGATTGGCGGTTCCATTTTGGCTTCGTTGTCCACTTTCCAACAGATGTGGATTTCCAAACAGGAATACGACGAATCTGGTCCATCTATTGTGCACAGAAAGTGCTTCTAAACGGTTTTCTGCAATCCCTGGTAGAAATCAAAAAAAAAATGGCTGCCGATTTAGTCGTGTATAGTAATAAGAACATAATTTTAACATCAACAACAACAACAACAACACCAACAACAACAAAAACAAAAACAGCAAAAACATTAATAACATCAGCATTACCAACAAAAGCATCTATGAGCAGAAGAAGCGAACGACATTTTAGGAGCGTAGAAATTAGATATGAAGGAAATCGAATGGTGACAAGCCTTTCTTGTAAGATTTGTGTTATAACTGAATGATCAGGAAAAAAAAAAAAAATTTCGAATGAAAATATTTAAAATTCCAAGCGTGTTTCAGCACCATAATTTACACAAGAAGAACAACAACAACATTATATACGTTTATATAAAATCAAAACAAATCACATTAAAAAAAGAAACATTTTGCAAATCTTATTGTCCATTTTTTATTTTAAACTTTTTTTTTCCTTTTGAGAACAACTCGCAAATGTATTATTATTTCTTAATTATTATTATTATATAATTTAAAAAAAGATGAGAAATCTTAAAATATTCGTGTATTTTTTCTTTTGAATCAAATCATCTTAAAAACCATCAACAACTGTATCATTCATCTCATTAATTTCATCTAATCATCCTCAAGTTTATTTTTGAGCCCAAGCACAAAAAGAGTAATTTTTCATTTTGCTTTAAATAAATTACACCTATATATATATATATATATGTATAAGGTGGCTGATTACCTAGGTCACCCACACTTGCATCGTATAATAATAATACACACTGTTTAGTGAGTGGATGGCTTGGGGAACGGGTTGTTTTCCTTAAAAGAAACAAATAAAATCTATAAATGAGATATCACAACATCTCTCTCTCTCTCTCTTTTTTTATTCATTTCGCCATTTACAAATGCTACGACAGTAAGAGTGCACAATTTCGCATCGGCTTATATGCATCTATTGATTTCGGTATACAACATTTTAATTGCACGCATGCGTGTATATGTTTATTTAATTTACGCTTGGAAATGCGATCGATCATTCATATAAATCATACTAGAAAAGCAACAACAAATCTAATAAAATACAATTCGAAGACTTTTGAGGACTACTTTTTTTGCATATACGAGAGAAAGAGTATAAGTTTTACCAATACGGACATATATTTACACATACATACATACATACATACATACTCCCTTTCTTTCTCATATTAAATTTGCATCGTTGCGATCAAAGGATATGGAGCATATATTAAGGGCATTGATTATGCACGAATGATGGGATGAGATTATGGATAAATCAAAGATCAGTAATGATATCTCCGAACGAGAGCAACAACAACAATATCGTCCTGAACAAGAAAAGTAAACAGTGCTCGTTTTTTATTACATATTTTAACGATTACAGTCGCGCATATAGACACACATTTTTAATATCGTAACTATTTTGCCAAAATATTTTACAATCAAAAAAAACATTGAAAATTGAATATAGAAAAGTGTTTTTTTTCTTCTTTAAAAAAAGAAAAAAAAAAAGGAAAGGAAAGGAAAACGAATAAGAAAAAGAAAAACAAAACAAGACTAATATACATACGATCTCTATGTAAATTGATAAGTTTGTACGTATATGTATATGATATACAGTGTGTCGTATCGTGTCCATGAGAACATTATTAATGAAATTGTCATAATTTATCTAATAAAAAAAAAAAAAAAAAAAAAAACAAAGAAAATATTTGAAGAAACTTGTTTTGAATGCTTCGGTGTAAGTGAGTGATCCCCAAATTCAATATGAACAATGTAAGACAAATGAATGCGTCTTTTAAAGAACTTTGCGTCCCCCCACGCTTCCGAGGAGAGAACTGCAATATGCTCATTTCGTTTTTAATGCTTAGAATAGAAGTTACTTGAGATCGCTAACTTTCAATAGGCGTGAAAGTTTTTAAATTGATTCGGATAAGGTTATCCGATTTCGGCACGCTCATGATTGCGAAAATTGATAGAGAAAGTAAAAATTTACTGTAGTTCGTTTTTAACATGTAAGTGGGTCATAGCCAACGATGGAGTTGCACTCTACGATAATAAATAAATATTGCCACATAAGCATATATCTGTTCAAAAATATATAGTAGAGCATTTTTAACCAAATAACTTAGTATTTTATTATTATTGTTTTGCAAATTTTATATTCCTCCTCTAAAGGATGGTGATATATTCATTCGGTTAAAACGTTTGCAACATCGAGCAGGACGTTGTGTAGACACTATAAAGTCCATATATATCCTGGATCAATATCAAATAATGAACCATTATGCGCGTGCTTACATTTGTTTGCCTGTGCACGGACGCATCCCAAATATAAATAAGAAAACGATCAAGTGAATTATGTTCGGTTCATCATTTTCATTGCCTTTATCTTTAGAAAAGCCTAACAAAAAATGAAAAAATTCAATTGCCCTGCTCTATAACATTAGATGATCGCGACTGATTTTGTTCCGTCTGTGTAAATAAGACATGGAAGTTATTATTATTTTGTATCGGTTTCAGTTTATGGTTATGTTACACTGTCCTTAAAACCATTTGTTTGTGTAAAGGAATTTGAAGATCATGTCTCAGCTTTTTGTGTGCGGTCTCTAAAGATTCCTTCTGTGCGTTGCAAGTGTTTTGACAAAATGAATATACACCCATATCTCGATGATGGGTGTAAAAATAAGAAAACAATGTCTGCATTAAGGCGATTCTTTCATGTTTATCACTTAGATATAACGTAGCCCCTTTCAATAAGAGGCGTCAGTTTAAATTCCGTGCCTCTTTTAAACTTTAAACGTATCGCATCCATTGCTGCGACATTTCGCGATTAAAAGTTATAAAGCAATAAAGCTTCAGTCCAAAAATAAAAAAAAAAAAAAATCTATTTTGATGCTCACGTGCTTTTAGCCACGTAAACTGTCATCTGGGATTCGGAAAGCCCGACTGACATAGTCGAGCATTTTATATCATCTCTAATTGCTTTGAAGACTTTTCAATGTGTTCGATGCATTCGAAATATATGTGTAAACGTCATTTTTGGTGTTTTTAGAAACGGAGATATTCTCAATTTATGCTGCACTGGACCGGTGTCCTTTGTTCGATTGGCCTCATTTGCAATATCAATTTGCGGGTTTCAATACTTCAGCCGAATTTCAGATGGATAGAGGGACACATTTAGATCTATTCAGGCTAAGAATGATCTTGATTAAGAGTACATATATACATTTTGATACATACGTTAAACTGGCTTCTTTTTTTTTGCCAATGGTCACTCAAATTCGAAGCGATCTCATAACAAAAACTAGATGTCATATCTTTGTGTAGTTTTTTGAAGAATTTCATTGACTATATTCAACGCTTTTCGTCGACGAAAGTATGCTGACATGTTAAGAGGGTGAGAGGACACGACACTATTTTCATGCTATCGATTTGAATAAAATCCATAAATCCTTTTACAAATCTGGCACGCGTTATAAGCTCATAAGCTAATGAAAACTGATATAATGGATTCTTTTTAAATATCTCCCTTAAATTGACAAATAATATATATAATTTTTATACCCTACACCACTACAGCGTGGCACAGCGTGTATTAAGTTTGTGCAGACGTATGCGGCAAGCAGCAAGCTACCTTTTATTACATCGATCTATTCAGAATCGTAATCGGAATTGTGTGTTCGTCTGCCCGAATGATGTCTGTCCATGTAAGCTTGTGTTCAAACTACAGGTCACAATATTTGAGATATTTTGATCGAATTTAGTAGAGTGTTTGTATCGGTCCATTTTTTCGATCACTCCCCATATAACCTTGTCGGCCTTGCTCGACTATAATGTTCTTACTTGTTGTTGTATTTTTTTTTTTTAAATAATATATATATGTATGTAGATTGTATGTGCTTGTGTCGGAATGTTTAAACAATTTCAATATAAATCCGTTTCTGTTAGTTAGCGGTCAATTACATTAAATTCATTTTTCAGACGTTAAGTATACCACATTTCAAGCATATTCTTTTATACTTTATGATTGCGTTTAGTATGCCACATTACAGTAACATGTTAAATTTGAACATAAGCATAAGCGCTACACTACATGGACTGTTGCCCATTCTCGGTTGCGTATATTTTACGCCCCATACCTTAAGTTACCATTCAAAGATATATGTTTTCTTCTTTTAGTTTTGACATGTATGTGTATATTATATACATACATATTTACCCAAAAAAAAAAAAAAAAAAAGAAATGAAACCCGTAATATTTGTAACAAGCAACTAATGAGTATCAAACACATTCGATTTTAGTAAAATGATATGATTTCATTCCGGTAAACGATTACGTAATAAGAGAAATTGATCGAACCGTAGTTGGAGTCGATTTTGATAAAAAATTCAATTCGATCTAAATTAATGCGTACACGTAAAATGTATTCAATTGCGTCATTGTTGAATTATTTATGTAGATAGAAGACAAGCATGATTCTTAAGAAAAGTCATTATTTCAATAAAACATACCTTGGCAGAGACTACGAACTTTGTTGAAGAAGTAGCTAATTAGGAACATTTTTGAATACATTTTCGATTGATCGTTCCATCTAGCATTAGTATCCAAATTAAAACATGAGATTAATCAATTTGACGCGAAGTATTATTCTCTAAATTAGGAAAATTGAAATATACAGAGTACCAACGTTTCTAAGTGCAATTTACCCCGTTATAATTGTTGATGAGAGTAAATAAGTATTGGACGTTTTCCTTGGCAAATTCTAGTCTTAGCTTCCTATTACGTTCTTGTATCAACGATTGACGACGAGTATGGCAATGGTCATGGTCATATATCTCGATATGCATTGAATCACTGGAGTCGGACAATTTAGTTTTTATGGATGGCATTGTAAACCAGGAGATTTATTCAAGAATATTAAAGGCAAATTTGGAAGAAACTTGGCATTTTGGTAATACTTTAAATTCTATCAAGACAACAATCTCAAGCGTAAATCCTGTGTAATTTAAAAGATGACTCTTATATAATTGCTGCAATGTGCTTCTCTCTCACTTATTCAATCACCGGGCATGAACCATATTGAAAACATGTGGGATGAATTGGATCGCCATGTCCGAAAATAGTGAATCTCTTCCGTCCAAGATGTGAAATAGAATAAACGAGACAAGAAGAATGGAGTAAGATCCCTGTTTCCTATACAAGAATAAATATGCAAAATATGTCAAAATATTTAAATGACGTTATTATGCAAAAAGGATACTTCACCGAATATTAATTTTTCATAAAATGCTGGTTTTTTTTTTTTTTTTTTTTGCTTCGTATTCTTTCTTATATGAAATCTAATGTTAATGACGCTATATTTTTAAATTTGTTGAAGTTATTTAATTTTCTTATCTACTGGAATAATATTTTGTTTGTTTTTTCTTTTTTTTAATTTTATTATTTTTTTTATTTTAATATGTATTACTTTGTAGTACAAAATAGTGAAAAAAAATATTAACGTTTGGATAACGGACTAGGTTTGACAAGCGTTTACTTTTTATTGGGCGAAAAAGCCCAATGTTAATGAGACTTACTCTACGTATATGCATAAAGGTTTATTTAGGTCATCAGAAATGTGACTTTTTGTCCTAATTTTGCATAAACATTTTGTATATATATTTTTATGATATCGTTATACGTACTTTGGTACTTATATTTTAATTTATTTTTTCTTCAACTTTATTTATATATATATATATGTACACATATATACATACATATATATATATATATATATATATATATATATACATATAAATAAATTAAAAAGGCATTGATCTGAATTAATTTAAAAAGCTGCGGACACGCGTTTAATGATATTGAAAATGGGAATTTTACAATTTACAAAATTTAGTATCAAACGAAGTTTTCCGAGAAATAGAGGAATAAACAAGATAAATAAAAATTATATCCTTACATAGGCAAAATGTCGGTAACAAAATTTTATGTCGATCAAGAAATATTTATAACGGGAGGATCAGGTTTGCTTTTTACATATGGCCATAATTAAAGCTTATTATGACAAACGCTTCCTAATGCAGGTTTTATAGGTAAAGCATTGATTGAGAAAATTATGCGTTCATTTCCCGAATTCAGTAAAATATATGTGTTACTGCGTAGCAAAGTGAACAAAAGTGCCGATGAAAGATTACAAATTTTATTAAAGGATCCGGTATTTGAACGGGTTCGACGAGAGCAACCACAAAATTTTCAAAAAATATTTTCTATTGCCGGTGACTGTAAGGAACTCGGACTGGGCATTAGTCCAGACGATCGTAAACGTATAGAAAATGTTACTATGATATTCCATTCGGCTGCTAGCGTTAGGTAAGGTAGCAGTGTTTAAGAAAAATTTCTGTTAATATTTTTTGGAAATTTCTAGATTTGATGATAATTTTAAAGATGCGATTCTATTGAACACACGTGGTGCCTTCGAATTGATTAAAATAGCTGAGGGTTTAAAGAAACTGAAAGCATTCATACATATCTCGACAACTTATTCAAATCCCGATAGACATGTAGTGGAAGAAAAGGTTGTTAGGTAAAAATATAAATAATTTTTCAATAACGACTTTTCTATATTTTCATAGATTTATCCACCATTGGCTGATTGGCGAACAACTATTAAATTAGCCGAACATTACGATACCAAAATGTTAAACATATTATTTGCGAAATACAGTTCACATCAACCGAATACGTATACGTTCACCAAGCATTTAGCTGAACATATTGTTAATGATCATCGCCATAAAATACCGATTTTATTATATCGGCCATCTATTGGTAAAATTTGAATGATTTTGTGCCTTTTTAGCGAAGCATGAAAGCCTTGCAGTGCGTTTATACCCGCACGATGAAAAAATGGACATTGGAAGCCCTATAATGTGTATAAATAAATACCTTTGATTCCACTCAGGACCGAAATTGTTTAGCTATCCGTCCGTCCGTCCAACGTCTGTGTTGGGACATTAATGTTTGCAAGTATTGACAAATAGAAAACTGAAACAGTGCTTAGTTGATAAATGACTTGACGATCCATCGATAAATCCGTCCTCATTAGGTAAAACACCAACCCATAGAACTTCCAACATCTGTTGATGTAATATTTCAGCATTTGAAATACTTGAAATTCGATTATAATGTCGAAGCTTATCTGAGACGGGTATTACCGAATATAATTTTTTTATTATTTCTTTTATTATTTCAGACACAATAGTGTCTATTACGATTAGAGCTCTCTACTACTACTGTATATATATATATATTTTTTTTTTTTTTTTTTTTTTTTTAAATAGTCGTTTCCAGCATATTTGAGCCTGTACCGGGTTGGATAGATAATTTCAATGGCCCAATAGGTTTATTAATTGCTTGTGGTCTTGGTATTTTACGTACTAGCCATGCGAATCCTAATGTTAGAGCCGATATTGTCCCTGTTGATGTATGCGTGCAAGGTTTAATATTAGCCGGTTATAAATTGGGAAACCTTATTGAAGCCACACGTGAAGATCAACTATTGGAAGTGGTCAACTGCTCGAATGCTCTGATCCGAACGTTTTGCTTTGGCAAGATTATAGAGCTTGGCAGAACAATTATTCGAAAAAATCCTTTGGAAAAATGTATTTGGCTACCGAGTGGCAGCATTACAGATAACGTAATTTGGCATTATGTCAGAGTAAGTTAAGTAATGGATATATTGTACATTGCGCATGCTTCAAATTTCATAACCTTTTTTTTTTTGAAGTTTATTACCGGACAACTGAGCTTGGCCCTTATTGGTGATTGTTTGATACTTTTAGCCAGAAGAAAGCCAATGTAAACAATTGCCTAAATTAAAACTCAAAAAAAAAAAAAAAACAAACAAACAAAAACCCATATATTTTCTCTTATGCTTTCGCAGACTCCTCAAGTTGCAACGGCGCATATTTATGTCGTGTCAGGCGCTTTACAAATTCTATACAACGCAATGGCTGTTCTTAAATGACAATTTCCTGGCCTTGAAAAATGTAATACCACCTGAGGACTTGTAAGTTATTATATCCTTTCATATTGAATGGAACTTATGTATGCTTTATATTTTCGATTTTCTATTTTATTTTGAAAAACTTTTTCTCAATAATTGTAGACCTAAGTTGGGCTTATTTCAGAATGTAGACATTGATGATGAGACTTTTTACATCAATGGTATTAGAGGTGCAAAACAATTTTTACTACATGAGCCGCTTGAGGCAACGAGAGGACCCCGTGTACGTCTTCAATTTCTTTTCTTTCTTAATTACTTTGTACAAATTGCTGGCATTCTACTAATTGGACGAGCTCTCTTGCAGTATTTGTATGGAAAGTTGTACAATGCTTAAGAAGATGAAAAGCTTCTCGATCTAAACTCTTTTACTTTGAATATAAACGGTGTGCGGGAAATAGAAATTTTACTTGTAGTCTCTATGTTAACAAATAAATTTGAAATATAAGTGAAAATCACTAGTAAGCGTAACGATCCAAGGACCCTCAATCCCTAACAAAATTACGCTTGACGACTTGCCTGCGGGACTATGATTTGACACTTTGGGAATGCATTTATATCGATTTTCCTGATCAGTTAATTATTGAGTAAATTCAAAGCGATCTCATAGTGTGCCGATCGATTGCTTCCAACATAGCATTCTTTTAAACTGCGACTATATGGAATTTGTGAAAATGAAACCTAAAAAGAAAGGGTTTAATTGCAAACTTGTATATTCGCTAGCGAGGAATAGATGTGACATTTAAAAGGATTCGCGAAAAAATCTCGAAGATTGTGCGTCTATTAGTCGTCTTTTATTAGCCAAGACCAACCAATAGAAACTACAAGCAAGGAGCAGTAGCTTCAATCGTTTCAATATCAAGTTTACAACAATCCTTAGCCTTGCCACAAATTCCGAAGTGAAATCTCCGTAACATAGCTAGCTACTGTTAATGATTAGTTACTTCTCTTTGAATTTAAGTCGTTCGGTTTTCTCGCACATTTTTTGAATTGGATATCCTCCAATCTGGAGTAGGGAACCTTTAGAGTTCTATTCAATTCCATATCCTTTGACGACTTCCTTATGACTTTAGGGGTCCCGCAGGGCAAGCACTTGGAACCCTAGGATCTACTATATAGCTGACCTTCCATCGGTGATTATCTCAGGTTGATGACGTTAAACTGTTCTCTTCAATTCAATGTAGAAATGTACTCTTGATGCCTAGACAATTGGCTGCATGGTGTTCGCTCAACGTTATGGAGCTGATCTTAAAAGAGTGTAAGAAGCTCTCACTCGCAAGGAAGAATACATTATCCACAGATAATATGGGCCCAATTTTCAACTTGGGGGTAGTATTTGACCAACGTTTACATTTCGGTTTGCGTATGGAGCTTGTCATAAATATTGCTAATAATTGCTCTTGGCTTTGTCAAAAGATGATCCAGAAAATTTGATGATCCTTACGTTATAAAAAGATGATAAAATAAGTTTGGTAATGCCATTGCTGCAATATGCCTGTGTTCTCTGGTCCCACTTTTTATAGGATTTATATTGATGCAATTGAATCAGTTCAGAAACAATTCCGGCTTCTCGCGCTGAGAGATTTGGTATAAAAGCCGACAGTCTCTTTGCTACCATATGAAAACAGATTGCTACTATTAGCTCTTCCCTTACTTGAGAAGCAAAGATTTTGTATTGGGTACGCTTTTCAAGGTTAAGGTAATACATGACGGTATTAACTCGCAAAAAGGATAAGCCGTAATGTCCTTTAGTTTTTCAAGAAATTTTATATGCATAAAGGTCGACCAATGCAGACATAATTATTGGCTTTGTAACTCGTTTAGGGTCCTTTGTAAAAATTTAAATGGTCTCTCTAATATAATCTCTATATCGGATTTGTTAATAAACGTCAAATTAGTGCCGCTTAATACGCGCAATCGCCCGAATATCGGCCAACTGAACTAGCTATGTCTAGTAACGGTTGCCAAGTGGCTGCCGAAAAGCACCGCCCAAACGGTTTAATTTTCGATTTTTATATTATTTGAATTATATTCTTATGTGTTGTTGAACACCTTATGCCAACTCCACTTGCTGCCTTAAGTGAACTAGTATTTTGCATGTTTCTTCGTGTGCTACGCAGACATTAAAAGTTTTGCTCGGAAAATTGTGTATCTGCGATGATTAGTTGAAAAGTTTTCAATCAATTTGAAATAGTGGTAAATGCCCAGCGCAAGAAAACGTTATACTACGGTATGGAGGACAAAGTGTGATTCAAGTGAAGAAAAGTGCAGAAAGACGATCAAACACAAAAGCGATAGCTAAAGAAAATCAAGAGCGTGGTGCAAATACATTTGAGTAAATAATAGCGAGTTAAGTGAACTAATTAAACTAATAGCATTAAAAGTAGTTAACAAATCTTAAAAAAAGGGAAAAACATTTCTATCGAATTGTTTATGAAAATTATGAATTGTTTTAATGGTGCATCAATAACGGTGAAAAAATGATTTGAAACATTTCAACAAAATGCAAAGGTGTATAATATATCTGGCGAACAAGAAAAATATACGCACACGCGTAATAAGATAATAGGTGCAACACTGCTTTTTCTAGAAGCTAAACAACTAAGCTATTACGTGCTATTAAAAATGATTGATGATAAACAGTGTCTGAACAGTGGCCAAACGATATAATGAATTGAAAAACGAGTACAAATCATCATAAAGCACTTAAATTGCTTTAAGAAAAAGTATGAAATATACGAAAGATTATGTCATAACACAACAAAAAGAAAACTTTCGAAAAGTGGAAAAGAAAAAGAGCAAAAACGAACATTTTTCGTAGCATTAGTTCAAGAGAATATAGAAAAGTAGATCAGTGCAAATCAGCAAGTAAATGTTTTAAATGTAAGAAATATGGACAAACAAACTCATAACAAAGCAGTGATAAACGTTACAGTAGTAGAAAATAGACAACAACAAGTTAAGTCTTAACATAACGATGTACAAATCTCCTGTGTAATAGAGACTGCCTCCGCTGTTCGTATGATAAAAGAAAGTGTGTGCCGAAAAAGAATTTTAAAGGCTACCCTGTGCAATCGTATGTGAAAAAATTATATCGTTTGCGAAACGTACACACAACTACTACTACTACTACTACTACTACTACTACGATTGGTAAATTAAAAGTCAGAATAAATGCAGACATTGTGGATATAAGAGATGACGCAATTAAATACAATGAATTTATTGAATATGATTTTATTAAAAAATTTCTCGTTACGGAAAATGCAAAAGAAATAAAATTTAATTGCGAACAAGAAAATGATAATTCGTCGGTATATGAAATCAATGCGACCGAAGTTAACGTGCCCCCAAAGCACAAAGCATCATTTCTAATTATTCACCGAGAGAATACAATGCACAGTGTGCCCGGCTTAAATATTCCTTTCACTTACCACATGTACCAATCAACAACCGCGAAGTAATTGTAAATAAAGTGATAGAATGGCGCTATCAGGCCGTCAACAATAGCCGTGACTTTAGTTAAGAGAAATTCAGTGCCGATGGTTGAGAACGTTTTTGCAAGAGTACTACACCCAGTCAACACAGTTAAATGGGGAACAATCAAATGATGAATAAATAATGTCAAGTTTTGATAAATTTATTACCAAATATATATATATATATATATATATTTAATTCGGTGTGTAAAATAATAAAAATATAATTAGATTTGATTCAAAAGAGAATAGCGCGTTACTATCCTTCCTCGTCGACCACATCCTATTAGCAATCGCTTATTTTCCTCGTTCTTTGGCCTTATACAGTTAACAAAATTCTTCGCTACTACAGATTTGGAAACTGAAGTAAAAGAAGAAGAGAAAGCTTTTAGGCGAAAGAAACAACGTAAATCAATGAACAAAGAGAAAACCGAAAAAGTAAGCAAATAAAAATGAAAGAAAAGAAAAAGAACAAAAAGCGTGAAAAGCAGTATCATCAACTCATAGCAGAAAACGAATCAAAGATTGAACATTGCAGAGGCAAGTCTTGTGAAAGAAGAACGTAAAAAATGCATCTGTAACCAAAGAACAAGAGAACTTCAAAGATATGCAATATGCGCAATCAATCGTAAGAAGTTCAAAGCTAGATGATTAAATTGCGTCAGATGACGAGCGGATTAGCCAAATGTAAATGTAGTGGACAGTGGGCTAGAAAGTCAGCAGAAATAGTGGAGAGTTAATAACGAAGAACACAATGAACGAGGTAACGCTGTAGATAAACATGGAGAAAGAAGGGTCAGTCCTTAAGTGGGAGTCGATATGTCAAGTTCTAAAGTCGTATAGTTGTTAAGTAGAAGTCGGCGAGTCAAGTTGTAATGTTGTGCACTCGGCAAACTGTTCTGCTTACATTCATTAATTCTTTGTAGTTACTTAACAGTGTATTTCAATTACATTACATTAAATGATAAAAATGTTAAAATTCTTTACATTCTTTACATTTAGGGTCTCAATCAAAAGAAAATCGCGACCTTTCGTTAGTGTCCATTAATAAAAGTTGGTAATAAGTGCGGTTCATCTACAAGCGTGACCTATAGCAAGCAATAAAAAAATAGACCTATGGGGCTTGTTAATCTTAAACATGACGTATATATTCGCTAAAGCAAGTTATCGCAACCTTGGATCAAGAATGACCTGATTCGCGCGCAAATACACTCACCCACTCAGTTAAAAGTACGTAGACGAGCAACGCTCTAGCAACGCAACAAGCCCTACCCCACTTCAACTGCAATAGCCTGAGTGTAAAAATTGATTGAAAATAAAAAATTTTTCTGCTGAAATGTTTGACTGCTTGACTTGAAAATGACTTTTGCGAAATGTCTTAGAAGCATAAGCTGACGCAATTCAAATTCAAAGAATATTTAATTTCCTTCCTAAAGAATTTATTTATCATTTTCGTCGTTAAATATCAATCAATTAGTTGGGAGATCCGAAAAATAATTCAATCCAGCCCAAATATAATATAATAAATTTATATGTCAAATCAAGAATAAGCTAATTGCTGAGTAACAATTCGCTCAAATAATTTTGGTAAGACACTCGACTTGGCACTGCCTCTATATAGTTCTCAACGTGATGTCTATTTTCATATTTGTGTGTTGGAATAAGGAAGCTACTCTCAATATTCTCGAGTATGATGTGTGAAAGCGGTAAAATATTGGTTTTATTAAATTCATATTGTTTATTTGAGCAAGTGGCATTTGGCACGTTAGAGTGGTTCACCGGACAATTTTGACTATAACGAAACGATATGCAATTTACTGAACGATACGGATGCCCAGGTAAACTGAAAGATCGACGGCGACTAACAACTGTCTCAACTGTCTTGACAGTTCGCTGTTACAATTAGGAGTAGGGTTGTATTGAAGTAGACTTCGGTCAAATAGTTCATTCAAATATGCAATTAATTGTTAAAGTGAGGAACACCGAGTAATTTGTGGCAAACCGAGAGATTTTCCAACACTATGACCGTAACAGAATGATTTGGACTTTTCGATTACGTCGCAAATAAAGGCGGCATGTTTCTTATAAGTAGAAATATCCGCGTTTTGGGGGAATATAGGTAATCGAGTATAACTGTTTGCTACCAGTTTTCGCCCGACAAAGTTCAAAGTTGGGGAGGTAGCAGGAACTTCAACTGGATGGGACCAGAACGCAACGGATACGGCTATATCAGTCGTATGGCCATTGTTACGCTGGGTTCGAAACACGGCAAGACAACGGCTCGCATCCTTGACTATTAACAATGTATATAAAAATTTTCGCTTTTATTTCGGTAAGCAGAACACATGATTTCTTTTTTCACTTATGCTTATATTTTCTTTTTTATTTTCAATTTCCAACATCTTGTTCAATTTCCGATGCCGGTCATTTATCAAATGTAGCCTAGCGACGACGTGACCACGTTAGCAAACGCAAAAAATAATTTTAATACGCATTATGGACTAACTTCACGCTAATAATTGCAGCAATCGCGAATCGATGTTCGCGTATATCAAGTTGCTTTGATCGGGAATATTGATAAAAAAAATAGAAATAAAGAAAATGCAGATCATTTGTTTAGAAACTAAACGGAAAACTTCAATCTTATAAATGTTTAGCATATGTCAAAGGATAACCTCGAAAGAAACCGCGAAAAGCAATGAATTGTTTCTGGGAAAGCAATCTTTATATCTTTTATATATATATTAGGTACAAATATTTTGATGTTGTTGCGAACTGACATTCACACTTTCATTATTCAAACTAACACAAGCGTTGAATATATATTCATCTTAAGGGAGATTATAGCGAAGAACAAAGACTTGTCTTATCATTTCATGGTCTCGTAATATGAAACGCTGAAAATGTATGGAGATATCGGATATCTTATAATCCGAGCCAACGAACAATTATTTGATATGTTTAAACTTGATTGTCAATACTTTTAAATAAATCGTTTCATTGAAAAATTTGTCGAAAAACAGAACAGATAGTATATAGCAATGTATCATTTCTTCGTTATTCTATTAATTACAGATCAGGAGTACATATCCTATAACATATATTAGACTTTCGACTATATTTAATATGAATACTATATAAGTAGGTAGGATATATAGTCAACATCAATACGCTTATATCGTTTATTTTAATTTTTTTTTGATGCAATGACCTTTTAGGCTTAACCCTAACTATACTTTTGTTGGCCTTAATTAAAGATGCAGTAAATTAATTAATTTTCGCACACAATTGCCACAGAGTAGAACACAATGTTAAGAGAAATGGATATATAATATAAATAGCTGATGTAGGCAAATTTGGAATATTAGTGTTGCGCTAAATTTAAGTGGAAATAGTTGATGTCAAATAAAACTCTTAGCGATTGTTCAAAATGTCAGTAACAAGATATTATGTCGGACAAGAGATATTTATAACAGGAGGATCAGGTTCATTTTTGAAATAAATTTCTAAGTATATATCGATAAACGAATACTTCCTAATTTAGGCTTTATAGGTAAAGCCTTAATCGAGAAGATTATGCGTTCTTTTCCTCAATTCAGTAAAATATATGTACTCATGCGTAATAAAGGCGGTAAGACGGCAGACCAGAGATTACGAATATTATTAAAGGATCCGGTATTTAATCGTGCTCAGGAAGAACAACCAGAAAGTTTTAAAAATATATTTGCTATTGCCGGTGACTGCAAGGAACTAGGCTTAGGCATTAGTCCAGTCGATCGTAAACGTATAGAAAATGTTACTATGATATTCCATTCGGCTGCTAGCGTTAGGTAAGGCAGTAGTGTTTAAGAAAATTTTTATTAACATTTTTTGGAAATTTCTAGATTTGATGATAATTTTAAAGATGCGATTCTATTGAACACACGTGGTGCCTTCGAATTGATTAAAATAGCTGAGGGTTTAAAGAAACTGAAAGCATTCATACATATCTCGACAACTTATTCAAATCCCGATAGACATGTAGTGGAAGAAAAGGTTGTTAGGTAAAAATATAAATAATTTTTCAATAACGACTTTTCTATATTTTCATAGATTTATCCACCATTGGCTGATTGGCGAACAACTATTAAATTAGCCGAACATTACGATACCAAAATGTTAAACATATTATTTGCGAAATACGGTTCACATCAACCGAATACTTATACGTTTACAAAGCATCTAGCCGAGCAAATTGTTAACGATTCCCGTGATAAAATACCGATTTTATTATATCGACCATCAATGGGTGAGATAAACAAACACTGTGTTAAACTGGCTGAAGTATTTTGTTCACAGTTACATCAAGTTTATTGGAGCCCGTGCCTGGATGGTTAGATAATTTCAATGGTCCGATAGGCTTGCTCGTGGCCTGCGGTGCGGGCGTTATGATGACTAACTATAGCAATCCTAATATCAAGGCTGACATGGTTGCCATTGATGTGACAGTACAAGGATTGTTACTAGCCGGTTATAAAATTGGCTACCGTTTTGAACCCATGACCTTAGATAAACCATTAGACGTGTTACATTGTTCACGTGCCAATGTGAAACCTGTAACTTATGGTGCATTAACTGAGGCCGGTAAGCGACTTGTACGACAAAACCCCTTCGAAAAATGCATATGGCTACCATGCGGTAGTGTTACAACGAATCCAATATTGCACTATACAAGAGTAAGTTTAGTTTTAACCGAACTGTACGATGTAGTCTAAAAAAAAAAAATAAATGCATTTTTAAGCTTATTATTGGACAATGGACCCTGGCATTGATGATTGATAGTTTCTTGCTTTTAGCCGGAAGAAAACCTATGTAATAAAGGTGGTCGAATAATGGTTGAAAACAATTATTTGTTTCTTTTAATCTTTTTCTAGGCTCCTTAAGAACCAACGCCGTATAGCAATGACGAGTCAGGCTCTTCAAACATTCTATACGACGCAGTGGTTATTTTCAAATGAGAAATTTTTAGAATTGGAAAGGTTGATATCTTCTGAAGACTTGTAAGTCACTTTCATTACTTTTTAAATCCTAGCACCTTTCTCCAATTCTATTATCTTTTAGGGATAAATTGCGTTTGTTTCAGTACATGAAGGCCGAACTTGACACCTTAATATGGCGTGGTATTGGAGGATGTAAAGAATTTTTGTTACGTGAACCGCGGAATGCTACGCAATCGACACGCTTACGTTTAAAATTTTTCTTCTTCATGCATTATTTAGCACAGTTCGTTGGAGCTGTTCTCATTGGACGATTAATGTATTTTTTTTACAAAAAATTATGTAGCACGGCTTAACGGTTTAACGGCTTCAATTTTTTTGTACGACTGAATGAGTTAAAAATAAAAAATGTATATTCATCTAAAGGCAGATTGAAATTTAATATCAATATTTAAATACATTATAAATAATAGTCGGTTATCAGAAGGGAAATTGCGAATTTTGAAATCACTTACCTTTCTTTAACAAGCACTTCCCACAGCACGGTTCGCCTCTCTAAAATTCGATACCTTCGTTGCATGTGTTACATAACATTATATGTCGGTGTACTGAAGCGACATATCGAAGCTTACCGTTTGCGTCTCGAGTGCGTTAAAAGTCCTACCAGAAATGTGGGCTTTCTGAGAATAGCACATGATCACTATACTCGAGTAATTTGGGTATTTGCAATGCTGGCTTTTTAAATTTATTGTCATGAAATTTAAACCTAGTCTCGGAGCCTGCTACGAGACCTAAATTAGTATTAACACATCTAAAGTGTATGCAACTAAATGTGAATTCTGATAAAGAAAATTTGAATAGTTCGTCGGAATGTCGTCGTAGGCCTTGACGGGTTGTAATCTCAAAAACAAAAAAAAAAAAATACTGAAACGAATGCGATTAATTTGGTATTGCGACAAAAGCCTACAAAAGCGCACGAACACTGAACGAGTATAGCCGAGCGAACAATAATTGTTTAAAAGCCAAAATCTATCCGTATCCCACGTACCGAAAATTTTCGGCAGAAACATGTCATGTTTTTGCAATAAACAGGCAATGGCCTCAATCTTATTACACTACTACGCTACATAAAGGCTCCCATTAAAGCAAGGCTTTGGATGGAAACAACGCTGGTATTTTATTACAAAAATAAATGAAGAATATATATAAAAGACGAAGTGGCATAGCGTATCTAATCATCGGCCTTGCCTAACTATAATGATACAAAAGATAATCCTACGGCCATCTAATATGTAAGGTAGAAATTTCATAACAATATGTACGAAAAGATTTTCTTATACATTGCGGATGTGTGATGCATTGTATGATAATTAAATTCTATTGCATTGAAGGAAATTTTTATGTGCTTCTCAGTATTGCGATATCGGCTATGAAAATTTTGTTGGGTTTATCATCTTCGCTCTCTAAATTTATTCGCACAACTATTTCGTTCCTACGCACACGTATATATGTATTTGTATAAATTGATAGATTTATTGTGTTCAGTATTCGATTCGAGTAACCCGAAATATGTTTGGATCTCGTTTGCGGGGAGCTCATAAGCTTGATGGTTCTTCCTTGATTTGTTGCATGATTACATACTAAATCGTCTTTGCACAGGACATCAACATGCACTTAATAAGGACAAAGATTTTAATTTGAAATTTGGTAACACAAGTAGTGGCGTGTACTTCTGATATTTTCAAACAAATTCCATAGTCTTTCCATATGCCGTACTTTTTGTTGAAGTAGTTTTAATCATCTAATTTTTATGCGATCATAGAATTCATGAAGAGCGCAATGAAAAATTTGACATTAGTCCGCAAGGTCGACGCATAATAATAACTTACATAAAATTAAATTTTTTTTTGTTTTTTCATTACCGTATGCTTGTAGTGTGGAAGAAAGGATGTTGTCCTATAGACATGCATTCATTATACAAAAGCTTAAACAAATTTATTAAACATTAGAAATTAAATTATAAAAAGTTGTATGTGACACTTTTGCTAAGGCTACGGTGAAACTTCTTGAACTTAAATCAAACACAAAAATTGTGTCCTACAGATAGTCCTATAGAAAACACTTAAATAAGCGAAATGTAAAAAAGTGACAAGTATATTCGACCTATGGCCATCGCCTGATATTTTTATGGGATTGTTCGCGAGTTTATTGCTATCATCATTGAATTTACCAAATAGCGAGCGGTTTACGGTAGATGTGCAGCTTGCAAATTATTTCGAATTTGCAGTATATTCCATTTTTTAACCTTTAAACTTAAACTAACAATCAAAAGTTTATATTAAAGCAATTGTAGGACGCTAACCATTCGAACATCAAGGAAACCAATATACAACTTTGTCCAATTAGGGTTTAAAAATATGGTGTGCTTTCAATCTTTAGTCATGGCTTGTTTATTTGCACAAGGAAAAAAATAAAGAAAAAAAATTAAAAGTATATACAACACTATTATATAAAAAACAATTGGAACAATTCTCTTAAATGAAAAGAAACCAAATGGGCATTATAAGATATTTTTGGTTGATTTTAAATTTATCTTAACGGCTTCGATTTCTTCTTTTTTTGGTTAAAAATTTATTAGTTTTGGTTATATCGGTGCTGGTAAATAGAATGCTTTGAGTAAAGTAGAATTAAGTAATGGTAGCATAACATCATCACCTCCTTGCTTTTGGTTTTTCTTCGTAAGAGTCTTAGCAACAGCCGTTAATATATCAAAAATGTGTTTCCTAAAAGGAAACAAGTGAGAAAATTATAGTCGGGTAAGGTTGGCCGAATACCTTACACCACATGGTCTAACACGGTTCTTACTTTTATTATGGAACACAAAAATGAAATCTTGTTTCTGCATAAAGGCATATTTTTCAAGTGCATATTTACGCGGAAGCGCACCCAAAATACAACCTAATGTAGTATAAGTTTAATCCTTACGTATAGCAGGATCCTAAAATAGGCGTAGATGGTCCAAATTTTGTAGAAGTCATTTTTGTATGAAATTGCTATTATGAGTTAAGTTTGATCAACACATATTAAAACTCTACTACTACTACTCTACAATGGATCAATGTTCCCGAAAGTCCTTATTGGGGTAAATAGGACAAGATGATCCAAATTTGAATAAATTATTATTACAAATTTATGTTAAATTACTATTATGATATAATTTTCTTCATGAAGCATTGTATTCACCTCTTTGTCGCTTCAACTTCAGTTTTTAGTATATGAAATCGAGAGAGGGGGTTCAAAAATTGCCTCGGCCGGTCCAAAGTTTTCATCCCAATTTTGATTGCCGGAATTCTACTACTTAAGCAATTTTGCCGAGAAATTTTGAAAATTACAATTTTTTTCCATATAGCAACTTTTCAGAATAGGGCGGTATATGATCGACAAAGTGGACTGTTCCGAACCATTTTCAATAACATTCGTCCTTGGATCCTTGGGTCAAATTTCTTCAAAATATCTCTAGAATTGCGATCTGTAGCTTGAACACAATTTCGCATGAACACACATCAGACAAACAGGCCTAGATCAATTTACATTACGATTCTGAATATATCGATATAATAAGAAATGTATCTATTTTAAGCCCTTCTGCGTGTTTCATACGTCCGCGCTAACTTAATATGTTCTGGTGTAGGGTATAAAAAGTTGTAAAATCGGCAAAAGTTCAAATATTAACAAATTGATCAGCTTACTTTTTGTCCCCTTTCTCGATAATATCACACAATGTCTGAATGTACCATGATCCTTTTTGAGTATCACGCAATGCTTCCGTACCTGGTATGGCCGCCAAAGCCACTAACATATCGGCATAAGATAAAGGATCTTTCTTGCTAGCATCCGACGAAATGATCTAAGAGAAAACAGTTCAAATATGTCTTAAACATAGGAAAAATTTCCAAAGCTCTTACCTCGTCTATTCTTGGTTGATCCTTTTGACACGCTTGTATTATTAAAATTTTAGGTTTATTTTTAAAACTCTCTTCGCAGAAAATTTTTTGTAATTCCGAAATTTTCACCGGTATGCTGTTGCTGCCATAGACAACACCTAATAAAATAAAATGAGAATTTAGTTTTTATATTTTGAAAATTCTTCAATTTACCATTAGCGCCATGCGTTAAAATAAAAACAATCAAAGAATCATAGATTATTGAACTTTTGACAGTTTCACGTATTCGATATACCATTTCTAAGTGACTTAAGTTATCATAAACTTTGGGTATGTAACCAAGGCTTTCGAACAGTTTCGTTAACCTGTCGCGGTCGACATCTGTACCTTTACGACACGTAGGGAATGGTCTTTTAGGTAATAAGTGCTGTAAGATATTAAATTTATAAAATCAATCTTAAATTAGTTTATTTCTTGTCTACTAACTGTCCACCTAGGATCCGTCTCTTGATGAAATTCATTTTGATTAATGATCACAACAAAACCAGCACTTTCTCTTCTAATTTTATAAAAGGTACTGTCATCGTCTTCCTGTCCCACTAAGAGATTATCGTTCAAGTATTTAAACACGTTTTCCTGCTCATCAACAAGAGAAGTTTCTGCTGAATCTGCGGCCGGTGGAGAAAAATATTTGTTTTGTAATTCAACTTCTTCAGCATTTTGTGTAACCGTATTATTTAGCAAGTCTTTCAATGAGTCCATGTCATTGAGCTTAAAATATTCTATTAAAACATGTACGTCCGTGCCAGTGCATTGGCGGTCGCCTATCCTTATTACTCGTCGAGTAATCCAATCTAACAAAAAAATCTCCAAGTACAAGGCATTGCGGAAATCTAAGCACTCTTCTCCATTCTTACGAGAATCAGTTTGGATTCTTGAAATTAGTCGCCTAGCTTGAGCGGCTGTAAGCTCTTCACATATTTTATAAAGAGCTTTTAGCATGGGATGAATATTTATGCTAAGCTCTGCAATTTGCGGCAAATAATGATGATGTAGATCTTTCCAACGAAAACCCAATTTACGTAGTACTCTTTTAGCATTTATGATGGTCAGAGCTTCTAGTAATCCCTCACGCCAATTGTTTCGCTTAGAGTTTGCATAAAGACGTAGTATCATATCACCGCCATTCTGTGTTGCCTGACCGCAACCACTAGGTGGATGTTTTGAAAGTACTATTAGTTTCTGCAATATATATTCAGCAGAGGTTTTCTCCTCACCAAACAGCAGGAAACCTAAAGACACCTGAGAATTTAGATATAAAGTATTGTTAATCATATAAGTCATCATCATCACATATTCATCATACCAATTGATAATAAGAAAGATCTCTTTCGATATACCGCAGATCTTCAACGTCGATCTGTTTCATTTGCGAAAAGTGATTGTCGGCGGACTGCGATAACATTTTCATCAATTTGCAATATTCCAATAAAAATTCCTATTACTGGCTATGCCTCTTTTGGGAAGTTTTTCGTCCATCCGCTACAATTGCTTATAAATTCTTTCTCTCATCAGTATTGCCAATCCAATCATTTTATTGTTGTAAATACTAGCGCGTACTCAACAAAAAGGCGGGTAAGAATTAGTAAAAATTTGCCGAATTCCGTTTTGACATTTCACTAATTAAATGCTTTAATATTTGCTGAGAAAACAAGGACGCACAGGTACCACCAAATTGAAGATCATGTAACCAGCCGACAACGAATTGGGTGATGATCGCCAAGAAAATCTAACCACGTTGGCAAACTTGCTCTCCCGGTTGCGTCAAATCTGGCGCCAATAAAATTGCTGTCGCTGAGAACAAATTTGCATTAGTATTGAGCATAAACCAAGTAAATTTACCACATATCTCTCTCTTAGACTTGCGTTTATAGAAGAACAGTTGTAAAAGTAAAATATAAACATCTGTTAGGAAATGAATTATTAACACAAAAATTTTAAATCTTCAAAATTAAAATCAAAAACTTGAAACTTTTAAAAAATTAAAAAAAATAAAATGCGCGAAATTATATATGTGAATTTTGAAGAAAAAGAAAAGTAAATAGAATTTTTTATTTAAAGTTAATTAAACAATGTATCGTAGCTTCCTTTTACGCTAGTCGATTGACGCAAAGAACAATGACAACCGCGACATAGAAGAGGGGATCACCATGAGACGAGCGAGAAAGGTTTTGCGGGTTATTTCGCACGCTAGCGAATGTAAATTGTTTCTACTTTTACAAACGACGTATAAATATTCGTTATATCGTTACAAGTAGATTTATTATCCACAAGTTAAGAGTCTGCAAAATAAAGATACATTTGCGTGTATATAGGTTAGCATTACAATATTTAGTATTTCGAAAATCTAACTACTGCTTTCGAACATTTCTTTAGGCCGTTGACGTATGCTACAGGAAGCCCGAAAGAGCTGTTATAGCCAAAGAAGCTGAGAAGAATCGCAAACGTTTGTGCGGCGTTGCACAACGCTGGCCTCCACTGAAAAGTAGATGGAGATCGTTTGCATCCTGCAGCACTCCAGGCGATGATGGTGTTGATGTCTGTGTGGACGCACCGTGATTAAGGCAGTTGCTGAAAATAAAACATTTTATACACTGCATCTTCTTTTTATTTGTTCATATACGTGCATAAAAGCAAAAAACATTTGGCATACAGGAACGGAAAATACAATATATTATATAATGATGAAGAAGACATCATTTATATGCATTAATCGTTATAGCAGAGCTGTTAACATTTATTTTTAAGGAAAATCTGTAAAAAAGGATACACCATAATAAACTTTTTTTCCAAAAAAAAAAAATTGAAACAATGGATTTGACTTTATTACTTTGTAAAGTTCTACATAATTTTCAATTCATTTCATTTTGCTTGCTTATTATTGTTTATCATGTGTAGTTTGTTTATGCAAAATAAATAAACGAGAAGTATTGGATGCTTTTGGAAACCTGACGACTACGCTATGTGATTAGCCTCTTAGCGATTATCAATTGTCTCCCAAATAACACCAGCCGATGATCACGGCGATCGTTACGGCCATGATTGAGGCGATCATCGCCTGCTTATATGATTATCTCCTTGTTATTATAAAAAAAGAGTGCTGCAACAAAGCAACTCTTCTTCTTCTTCTGAAAATCTTGATGATTTGATATCAACAACAGATGATTCACTGTGTTGAACAAAAAAAAAAAAAAACAAAGAAGCAAGAAATTACCGCAAACTTAAAAAAGACAGGGTAAACCTGGTCACACTAAAAACATTTAAATGAAAAAAAGTTGACATTATTTTATTAAAAATATGAAAATTCTCTTCAAGTTATCTTTACTTATTCTTGTTTCGAAATTGAAGGCATCATACATTTCGCGGAAATACAGCCAAATTAAACACAGTAATGCTAGATGAATGCTTGGCTGAATTTATAGAATTCTTTATCCGAATTTTATATAGAGAACGACGAAAGCACCATTGCTTCTCCTTACTTCTTAAGTCCTGCGATTTTTATTTATATTTACATTGATTTCCTAATATTTGTTTCTCAAAGGATTTGATAAGCCAAAGGAGCGCTTCTTTTTACGCGAGTGAAACTAACAAAAATTCTAATAAAATGTTTTCTTGCTTATCAGGGTTCGGTGTTTAAATTAGGCGCTTTGAAAATATTACATAGGAGGGCATAGAAAAGTTTTCATTTATATATTTTAATGTGCCCAAGTTTTTAACTTTTTATTCTTTTGCGCCCTTTTCAGTCCTTTTGGGGGACAGCTATTTTATATATAAGCTTATTTCAAACTTTGAACTGTCGGAAAGTTCTTTAAGAGTTTAAACTGGGTTTTCGTCCAATAAGTTATGCAATTCATTGTGTTGGAACTTTTTTAGTCCTTCAGACCGTTGTTTGTTATTGATATCAAAATGACCGCCGAAACCAAAACCAACAATTAGGTTAAGATGGAAGACCATCACCATAAGCTTCTGAACGTGAGCCTCGAGAGCAGATTTCTTCAAATTAAACAACAAAAGTAATGAAGGTCCAGCACTCCATTATTATCGTTGGAATAACTCAATATACTAAATGGAAAACTGTTAATTTAGGTACAGAAAGGTTAAAATTACCAAATTAATCATTATGTACACTAGGATTTTTCAGTTCTTCATAATTTTCATCTGCATAAGTTATTTCTCAAAATTAATGCAAGCTCTTAATAGTTTGTATTTTCTTTTAATATTCATGGATTTGCATAAACATGTGAATATCCGCAAGCAACAAGAAGAAGAAGCATTTATTTACATGCGGATTTAATTTTATTTGAAAGCTAAGATTAAACTAATTTGAGTTGTTCCGGAGCCGAGAAAAATCATGCTAACACCACATCGCGATATAACGAATAGTTGTCTGATATGCCAGGCAATTGAAGAAGACAATGATTACGAGGCACTGTTTACGGTCAACAAGGAAGAAGCTAGTGATAATGGATATGCACTAACGGCAATTGGGGAAATGTATGAGGAACTAATCGGCCTTAAAGTAAGAAGCTAAATTGTATTGAGAGAAGTTAGAAAATTCTTAACATAATGAGTCTACCGTAGATACCTTTGGAAATGTGTAACATTTATCCACAGTTTTTATGCAACACCTGTGATTTACAGATGAAGTTATTTAAAAAATTGCAACTAAAAGCCAGACGTACTGTGGAGTTATTAAAAGAAATTTATGATGCTGAAGAACTGGTGAAAGAGGATTTATATAGTGAATGCTGTGGTATAGAATGTACTGATGAAGATAATGATCTAGAAAATATATTGGTCGAAATGAAATCAGAAGAAGAAGGGGAAGAGCGAGTAGCGGAGGACGAGGACCAGGAAATTATTGAAGCAAATAATAACTTAATGAAGGGCGAAACACTTTCACAGCATATAGAAATATTGAATGACTTGGAAGAAGTTGAAACAAATGATTGTGTTACAGACATCCGTGAATTTATCACTCACACTGATCAATTCCGTGTAGAAGAAAATCGGCCTGAAAATCAGATTGAAGAATATGTTTTGAATTTCAATGAAAATTCTGAAACTTGCATACAATACCCTGAAGATCAGGAAGAGGGCGAATTATATCAAGAGGAGCTCATTGATGATCACCCAAACGAATCTAGAAAAAGAAAAAAACCGAAAGAAGATCTTAATTGTTTGGCTTGTGGAATTATTTTTGAAGATGCAATAGAATTTAAATATCATTTGTAAGTCGAAAATCTTTCTAAACTATTTAACATATTGTCAGATAACTGAATTCATATTTCGCTTTTATTTAAGACGCTCCGAGCATGACGAAAAGTATCCTTGTGGTGAATGCTCCAAATTATTCCATTCTTCAAAATCTTTAAAATTGCATATGAATTTACACAATGGTTTACTGCCTTATCAATGTGAGCCTTGCCAGCGTTCGTTTAATCAAAAAGTTCACTTTCTAAACCATCTAAACCGTCATAATAACATCAGGAATTTCAAATGTGACGAATGCGATAAATCCTTTTTTGCCAAAGCTGATTTAAAAATTCATGCACGCACTCATACGGGCGTAAGACCTTACGTTTGTAAGATATGTTCAAAAAGCTATATGCTATCGGATCATTTACGAACTCACCTCTACACTCATACAAATCAGAAATTTGAATGTAAATTTTGCCCACAAAAATTTAGCACACCATCGACTCTTAGACTCCATCAAAAAACCATTCACTTGATGGAGAAACGTTTTAAATGCCAGTATTGTGAAAAACTATTTCGCCGTAAGCATCATTTGATGGTAAGAGGGCGAAAAAAAAAACAGTTTTAAATCGGTATTGGTCTTTCTTTTTATCTTTCGTTTTTAGAATCACATAAAAAACCTTCATGCGGATTTGGAGTATGCATACGAAACGGAATTATGTCAGAATCCTTCAGTTGAAACAAATAACGATAATCCCACTGCTGATTTATATATGGATAATAATGATATTATAAGTAGTATAACTGGGGATTGTCATGGGTATATAGTATTTCCACCAGCAGTAGTTCCAACGTAATAGAAAGTCTTTTCATATTTTATTGCTATTAATAAAACTAAATTCGACTTTGCGGATTTAATTTGAATTACTCGAAAGAATCGAGTTTGCTTGGTCACTTTCTTAAAATAACAAACTAAATAAGTTAAAGGGCAGAGATGCGTAGCAAAATTCCATACGTCTCACTGGGAGTGCATGGAAGGCTTCTTTCTGAGCAATATGCAGGCCTAATCAAAAATTCAAGAATACTGAAAGTTATTGAACATAATTCCTTGTACCTTTAATTGAAGGAATACGTATAAAAGAGGTTTTAGCAACTAACATTGCTTTTGTCTCTTCCAATGCTTACTTACTTTTAAGTACAGTTGTCAGAGGCAGAGTTGGCTGTTAACTCAATAGGATTATCAAAGGCATTTTTGGGTAACTAATTGTATCGCTTATTGCTAGAGCGCTGAGATTAACATGCTGTCAACTATCACATCCTTTAGAGATGATTTACAGGAAAAATATATATTTATAAAGGCAATTCTCCTTGTTGTTGTTGTTGTTGTAGTTTTTTATATAAACGTGCAGTTGCTCGATACAATAGCTACGAGTTTAGAAAAAATTTACAATGATTTTCTTAAGATCACTACATATCGTAGAGCAAATATTGTTAATGTAGTTAAGGCTCTCCCGTTGAACAGATTAAAAGCCACGATAACTGAAAACAATTTCACTTTCTGTGAATAAAATACTTAAAATTTGGACAACATGAGAAGGAAAATAATATACACACAATACGTTTCACAAATTATTCCGATTACAATCACGGATAAATGATAAACTATGTTTATCACACCGATCAGAAATTTCATCGTCAATATTATATGTATTGTCCGTTATTGAAACTTTGCTGTTTGTAAAAATTGCAATCGAAAGATTCAATTTGGAGCATACGATCTTTTCGGTATAGCATCTAATTTTTCTTTATTTAGTAAAAAGTTGCTGGTAATATCGGGGCGTGAAGTCAAGTGAAACTGCTTCACTTATAGAGAGAGAGAGATATTTATTGTATTAATTTTTCTCAATAAATGATTTTTTCAAGCAACGATGTGGCGTGCTTTTGACTAATGAAAAACCTCTTAAAATGTTTTTCAAATGATTCGAAAAGAAATTTAGTTCAATTGTTTATCGAAGAACACGAGAAATTACTTGTTGAAAGCAAAAAAAATTCAAAATTTTTTGAAGAACGTATAGAAATGTATCCCGCGGGACCTCATAATATCATAAAGTATCTATTGAAGAGTCTAAAAATATAAATTGTTTCTTTAGAAGAACACGTTAAAACTAGTTTGGAAATATTGAGTGAGTTTACTATATATCGACACTAGGTATTCGAAGTTCTTTATCTTTATTAGGTTTTGTTTTCAAAATAAAACAACAATTTTAATTTGTTATTTCAGAAAAAAAAAAAATAAACATGAATTTTTAATTGATTTCTTTCCTTTTAAATAATATATTCTTTTTATATTTTATAATTTAATAATTTTTATTCAATACTAAATATGTATATAATCTTTTTTTTATTTTTTTTTTTGTTGTTGTCTTTTTTAATTTTTTTTTTTTTTTTTTTTTTATTTCTATAAATTTCTGAAGCACTTTTTTATTTTTTTATAAATTAAATAGAAATTCTCTCTCATTTTCAACATATATATGTGTATATATATATATATTACTTACTATACTATATATATATTATATATATTAAGTAATATATATATATATATATATATATATACTTAACTTAAGTGTTCGTTTGTGTGACAAGTGTGGAAACAGAAAAAGGTAGTGCAGAAAAAAAAAATTAAAGAATTAATTATCTATGGACTAAGAGCAACCGTTAGGAAGTGATTTAAAAAAATAAAAACAAAAGAATATTTAAGAAATTGAATAAAAATCGTTTCTTTCAAGTTTTATTTCGCCGAAAATTAACAAAACATTATATATGGAATTTAGATAATTATTGTTTTACAAGGCAATTTTTTTAAATTTCATTACAAAATAATAATTTTTTTTTTTGTTGATTTTTGTATGTGTGTTTTATTGATAATAATTATAATAAAACCTATAAAAAAATGTATGGAATTTCTTAAGCTTTAAATTTTTAAAAGTATATAAATTTCTTAATGCATTAGAGTGAAATGTTTAGTATAAGAGGAGAAAATTTGTTCATTGCATTTACGACAGATTTTTTTTTTTCGCCTTTTTCTTTTCAGTAACATATTGCATTACATACTATATATAACGGCTTTTCTTTTCTATTAATAAAAAAAAAAAAAAAAAAAAACAAAAAAAATTGTTTTTGTTTGAAAGAATTAATTAAACGAAAGCTAAGACACGAGAGTTTTACAATAAAAATTCTTAAATGTGTGATTAAAACAAAAAATTTCTGTTTTGTTTTTTTGTGTAAGGAGAGGTTGAGTTTGCTGAGAAAAGTTAAATGAAAATGATAAATGAAAAGGTTAGAGCCTAGATGTTTTAATACTTATTCGTTTATATTTTACTTCAGTGCTGTTGTGATGGAGAAGAGAGCTTACATACACGCATTAACATTTCATTATCTCATTATCTAATAATACTTTTCAAATAATTCGAATAAAAATGAAAGCTTTTTAATTAAAGGAATAATTGGTCAACAATATATATGTATCCCATCATCAATTAGGCAAGAAAAAAAGTTCTCAACATATATATATATATATAGTTATGCAAGAGAGCAAAATAAAGGGGATAACGTCAATATCAATGTATATTAACGTTTTTAATTTTTATAACAACAAGGAATCTCTCGATTGTTTGCACTAATGTTGCGTTTGCTCCCTCCAATCAAAATAGATGACTCTTGATGAGTTAGGTGTTGAGGTAAGTTAATGTAAACATTAGTATTACAGAGTATGCACATGATAAATGCATGTTATGTGTTTTGTTTAATTTACTGGTTCTTAGAGCGCACTTTTTTAGTTAACGGTTTTAATAAAACATGCATTTGTTTGTTTTTTTTTTGTTGTTGTTTGCTTGGCTGTCTTTCTTGTTATATAGCAAAGGGGCGAGAGATATTATTGACAGAAAGAAAGAAATACACAGAGAATAAAAAAGAAGAGAAACTTTTTTCATTGCTTATGTTTCTTTTGTTTCTTCATTTTTTTTTTTTTTTTGTTTTTTTGTGTTTTTTTTTTTGTTTTGTTTTGTTTTTTTGTTTTTTAAATAGGTGTATTGTTGTTCAGTATTTTTATGTTGTTTTTGTATTTAGCATATAAAGAAAAAAAGGAGTATTTTGTGTGTATTCGTTTTGCTCTGCTTTTAAACAACAGGATTATTTGTTAGTTTCTTTAACGTTTGCCTGCAGGTTTTACTGTGCACGATAACAACTCTTCTTTGGCTAATTTAGCACGAAAATCAGCCATCATATCCCGACAACTAGTTGCCATATCAGCCAATTGCGTAAAAAATTCTTCGCCTTCTTTACAATAAGCATCCTGATCATAGTCTACATAATTAGTGAGATTATAAAGACGCAATGATTCGGGCAAGAAATGAGATAGGAAATCATTAATTGCTCGATGTTGATCCACTACCATCTCTTCAGTTTGCTGTAAATCTGAGATGGCAGCATGTTGTACCAACAACTCGTCGGACATATCATGTTCCTGAAGGAGAGAATAAAAAAATATATAAAATTTTCTCTATTATTCGATTCAATCAATGCTTTTTTATAATAAAAATACTAAATTATATAATAATGATAATAATAAAGCGTTACACAGAGATACGCACTATGACGAAATTTGATTTAAGAAGAGTTGAAAATGACAAAATTCTCATTTTACACGATTTGCAATATTTTATGCATTGTTTTTTTTTTTTTTTTTTTTTGATAGTTTTACGAATTTTTTCATTCTCACTCTTCACCGATATGCATTGTAAATGCACGCATTAGATTATTCCGGGATTCCCCGAATTAAGCATAGCGTAAGGACGTAATGTATTTTACACGCAATTTCATTTTTTCAAAAAAATTCCCAAGTGAACCGTAACAACAATTTTTAAACATTATTTTTTATTGCATTTTCCAGTTGCTTTTTCAGATCTGGAAGTAATCTATTTATGAGTTTTTTTTTTTTTTTATTAACGTATCTACCATGCAAAAGAGGTATTAATTTTACTTGCTTCATTAAAGTGTCCTTCGAACAATTTTTTTTGGTAAAAATTCAATTTCAAAAAAGGCATCTCTTATGCTTATAAGTAAGACTTGCTTCTAAGGCATCATATCGATCGCAAAATTTATCGTATTAAGCCTTATATTGTTATATAATTGAAGGAGTATTTTTGTATGTGGTAGCTAATTATCTAAACTGCAGAGATTACTTCCGTTTTTTTTTTTTTTTTTTTTTTTTTAGATGGAATCGAATCTTCCGACTTATGCATGTACTATTAATAAAACCCGGCACGGAAATCTTATTTTTGATCAATTTTATATAGAACTTCCTAAAATAGTTGGGAATTTGAGAGATTATTAATTGTCTAGTAATTGCGAGCAATCTAATCTATTAACTTCTATTTGCTTTAAGTAGGAGAAAATTGGAAAAAGTTGCAGATGAAGTTTGCTCTCCTAGCCGATGGCTTGAATTCGCAATTCGTTTTTTTTCACAATTGACTAAGTAGCTTCCCCTATTCACACTAATCAAGGGCAAGTATACGCATATTCGATACCAAAAATGTAATTAATGTTGCCTGTAGGCAACTGAGTAGACTTAAAAAAGTTTAATGTTCGTTCGAAAACTTCTTTGTTGCATTCCAAAATGAGTTCCCTTCAATAATAGATTCACGATTTTTTAATGTCAACCATTTCTAATTCAATTCACAACCTGCATTATAGATTTTCTACACCCTATGTTTAGTGCTTTTTTTTTTACCTTAAATCGCCTTAACTTATATTTCGAAGAATGAGAAAGTCAATTACCTCCGATTACGGAGATTAAGATAAAGAGATTATGTTCGATCTCTATTTAAAGAGATCCAATAGGGGTTATACCAAGTTATGACTGCTTTGACATATAAAAGCTATTATTTATTACATTGCGACCGAAGATTTTTGAAAATCATTAATAAGAATTTAAAAGTAGAAAATTGAAGGAAATTCATTAAAACTTTAAAGCACGCGTTAACACGTTAAATAATTTGAAATGTAGCAGGAGGAAGGGTTGAATTATTAGATGAGTTTTGAAAGTATGCTTTTACTTACACTTAATGAGCGCAACAACGCCAAATCGTTCCCAGATATTTGACCGTTATTCTTATTATTATTATTATTGTTATTATGATTAGTATGTTTATTAGCCAAAGGTCGTTGTGAAACGTTCTGTACAATATTGGTTTCTTCATCTTCTTCATAAATAATATGGTCGGCACCTTCGTCACGTAACAGTACATCTGGTGTGTCCTTGACCACTAGCTCCTTGACCCGATCGGCATACCGCAATGTATTCAGAGTGTGTTCACACGAACTTAGGCCAGGCGAAATCATGGCAATCATGCAGGTTTTGCTCTTATCTCCAATAAAAGAATCACGTAATACTTGAGTTAATTTAGATACACGGAATGGCAAGTGGGCCGACTGTTTGCCCAAAGCTCTTATACACTCTTTTAGAGCCAATAAAGATTTATTTATTTCAGCGCCCTCCATACGTGTTTGACGATTGGCAGAGGATGTGTCAGCTCCACGTTCATTGCCTGCCAGATCGATGAAAGAGAATTTGCCATGAACTTTCGCCGAGCCTGGAGGACGTAAAACAATCTGGAATACTGCATGGGAACGTGACGAATTCGAATTGGCTGAGGTCTGTCCGGAGGTGCGAGCAGTGTTGCCGTGTTGTATTAGTTTTAAGACTTCATCAACACTGTCGACTACCTTCTCGGTAAGACCTACTACCTGTATCTGCTGTTTTCCATCTTCCAATACGCGTAATTTTTGCTTATCGGAAAGTAAATCGAATACCTAAAGAAAAAATGAAAATTTGCGTATATATATATTTATATATATTTATATTATACATATATATGTGTATGTTGTGTAAAGAAAGAAAAAGCAACTGGTTACCATACCTTGCCACTATAAATCTCAAAGAAACTTGCCGATACCACCAAATTCAAGTTGCGATAACGTGAATTATGCAAGTAACTGAAAACATCCTTTGCGGCCATGGCATAAATGCCATTTTTACAATCTTGCACTTTGCCATTGAACTCGCCGCCCATAGTGTGCGTTTTACCAGAACCAGTTTGACCGTATGCAAAGCATGTAGCCATGCCACCCTCAAATATAGTTTGAACCAACGGTTTAGCAGTATATCTGTGTAATACAATTAATTAAATAATTAGTAGGTGCTTCGTCATTATCATCATCGTTGCACTTAAACGTTTGTTTCAATTTCTATGAATTTCGTTAGTAAGTATAAATTGCATTACGCTACTACTTAGTCATTTATACAAACAAATATTAATCGTCTTCTCTGCCCCACCCGAATCCTGCTTGCCCATCATTTACATCACTATTCCATTTACTCTCAATGTCATACAATTAAAAACGAATTGAAACTGAAATCGACAGAAAAATAAATAAAGAAAAATGAGACACTACCCCACACACTCAGATTTTGTAATACGCTTTGTAAAAATACAATGCTTGCTACCGGTCATTGTTGCAGAATTTTTGGGTCAAATTTCATAAAAAGAAAAAAAAAAAAAAAAAAAAAAAAAAAAAGAACAACAAAGAAAAACTCTCGATTCATGATAGTTAACCAAGCGATAGAGAGGTGAATGGAAAAGTGTGGATACAAACCTTCAAAATAATTAATATCACATACCTTCTTTTCAAACAAAACAAATTTACGAGGCTTTTGCTTTCAACATTAGCCCCCGCTCGCCTAACTTATATTAAACTACTTTATATATATTGTGTTCCGGTTGCACGACCCTCATTTCGATTTATAAAGAAAATCTAAACTTTTATAACAATTACAAAAACAGCACAACTCTCCGGCTTTAAGAAATGCCCTATAAGGTTGAGATAACCAGCAAATATATTTTAATTTAAAAAAAAAAAAAAAAAATCAAATCCATTTTGGGAAAATTCTTGAAGTTCGATGGTCGATAGTGCTATCCACTTGTCGAAAAATTCGGGCAGCTTGTCTTCGATTTAATTATTCAAACGCTTCGATTAAATGTTCGAACATTCCAGATGAACACACCTTTTATAGCTTAAAACACCTTGAACACCTTTTCTAGGTTAAAATATTGAACTGTTGAGATTATTTTAGTAACAAAATGATGAAGACGGGAGTAAATAAATGTGATAAATTTGCCAGATCAATTTTCTATAAACGACTCCGTCCGTGGCAAAAGTGCAGCACAAATTGATCGGGAAAAATTGCCCAGTTTTCAAGATCACATACCCAATTAAAAATTCATCACCAGTATTCCCCAACATCGCAACATAATTATCGTCCCTTACATTTCTTCTTCTTCGTATTAGGAAGAGAAAATTACAAAATGTAACGTGTTTGCTGTCTTTATCGTTCCTGCCTGTGTGTGTGTGTAGAAAATTATTAACTGCATTAAATTTTAGGGCAAATCGAAAGTGCCACTTTAGAAGGTTTGGCGGTTTGGTATGGTACAGGTGCACGTGCTTTTCCTCGAACTAGCTAAGTCATGAGATATGGCAGATGCTCTATAGTTTTGCTATTCTAACCGACTGGCACGTACCTATCCAGTACCATACACGCGGACGGACGTAACCTTACCTATCGAACGGGCATATCTTGTGCCGCTGGGCGTTTTTATACCCGCCCTGCCTATGGTCTTCTTCGGCCCATGATGTCAATGAGAGACATCGAAATTGGGTCCGAAGACTCCTCTAAATCTAAAATCTTATTACGCATAGAAAATGACAATGTGTATAATATGTCCATTCGAATTTTTCAAAAATGTCAAAATATATGGTTATGGGAACGTACACTGTAATCAGTGCATATAAAAAATAGCCGTTTCCCAATATGAATAGGAAATGACACACTCATTAAGTCCCTTAAAAGTGAAAAATTCGTTTAAGAAGCCTTTGTATATTCGCAAGAGTCATCATAAAAAACGAAACTTTGATATCAGCTGCTGTTGTTGATTCCGTCAATATCGTACATAACGACTAAAAATAGATATAGCTATGCTTGTAGAAACATCTTTACAAGATCTACAAAATTGAAATCATTTCCAGAACTACGAGCAGCGTAATAGATAAAAAAAAAAAAAAAAAATTACTAGCAGTTGGTTAAATTTCCAATGCGGTAGATAATAATAATTTTACTGGACTTACACAGATGATGATTTGCATTAATAATCTCTATCGATTCAATTGTCGTTAAGGAGCTAATGCTCGTCTTCAATTCTTCAAGCGTCGATTTTCTATTTCCACTTTTGTGGTGCCGTCAGCTTCAAAAGTCTTAATTATATATAAATAGATGAATGATGATTTACTCATCGCGAAATCTTGATCTGTTATGGAATGTACTAAAACTCGGTACTTTCTGAACTATACTCCAAAGTATTATAAATGAAATGAAAAATTCAGTATTGCGAACAATTTTTGTTCGGTGGTATTTCGAAAAGCAAAAGCGGTATTTAAGCGAGATACGTTCATTTGATTTTCGCGCATTTTATCCAACAAGGTATACTGCAATAGCCCAGCATATGTTTCGTTTATATCCGGTAAAGTGATTAAAATTCATTTTCCAAATATATTTCGTGTCAGGACGTGAAAATAAGCTGCGGCTTATTAAAACAAAAGTTTTCCTTAAAGTCTTTGAAATAGTTACGTTGATAATGTTGCTTATAAAAATCATAGGTGAAATGGGACGTCGTGCAAAAAGCATAACTTGAAGTTAATTAAAAAGAAAATCGACTCAAATGCAATTAAATTCGCATTAACATACACAATACCGAAGACTGGCTTCACTTTAAGACTACGGATAAACAAAGAAACTAATAAAGACCTTGACGCTACTAAAAACGGTTACACGGGGAGTAGGAAGAAAGTGATAAACAGAGATATGAAATCATACAAGCTGTGGAATAACTTGAAGTGAATACAAAAAAAACTGTAAGTTAGAGAGAAAAAAAAAAAAAAAAAAAAAAAAAAAAAAATTCGATAAATTACATAAAATAATAATAATAATAAAAAAAATAAAATAAATAAAAAAAAATTAAGATAATTATATACAAGAGATCAAGTAGTTCAATGATAAAAATATTATTAAAATGAATTAAATAAAAAAAAAAAAAATTCAAATACCATCCAAGTCTTTGGTGTTATCTTTTTTTAAAGTTAAACGTCATCGTCGCTGGCACGTTCACTACAAGAGATACATGTAAACAAATATATTTCTATTACAAAATATTTCTTAGCGAACAACACTCATTTCGTATGATTTTAGACTGAGCAAAAAATATAGTTAAAAAACCACAAACGAACGAACGAAAGAACGAATGAATAAACGTACATACGGTACGTACGTATGAAACCGTCATTCAAATGGAAAAGAAGTTTCTTCAAGGGGCATAATAGCAAACGCGAATGGTAGCTGAAAAAGCGGTATAAAGAAATAAATCAAAAATAAAGAATTTCGTGTATGACTAATCATCACCAGCAACATCATCTCAGTGGCTCCATTTATAAGCCCATATATTCATAAAACAACTACAAACGTCACTGGCACCGTTGTCTTTGTCATTGCATTGTAAAGAGAAAACAAAAAAGAAATACAAAAAAAAAAAAAAAAACGAATAAATAAATAAAATAAATAATATTCAAATATATAATACTGTTATGATCAGCTGTTGCATGTCGCTTAGGAAAATTTTAAAGGGAAAATATTGGCGAAAAATTAATTACTGATTAAAATATCATATCCTAGTCAAGGCAGCAAAAACAATTCGAACTCAAAGAAATATTTCTTATGGACTTTTTAAAGGTTCTACTTTTAAGGGTTCGAGTTAAAAATATACTTTAGCTACTTGAATAAGAAAAAACTGGAGAGACACACCTCACTTCTCATTAAGTCGATTAAAAATATTGAATTCAATTTAATATAAATGCGAACGTCGATAGAGAGAAAGTCGCTTAAATTTTAATTACAGATTATGTCAAAGCAAAGTCGGAACCGGCCGAAGATAACATACGACCGATATTAATAATAATTGCTGACCGATTAGAATGCGAAGCATCTTTAATAGGCAACGAAATTTCCCAAACTTTTTTTTCTTACAATGCACAGTTCGAAAAGAATTTGCCCTCTTCTTTCCAATATACATTCATTCTTTCCTCTCTGCCTCTTCTTCTTTTTCTTGTTACTCTTTTGGAAAAACATTTTCTGATCATAACGTTTTCCGATGTCTTTTGATGAAATTTCTTGCGAAAATTCTCTCGCGATCACAGAAACTAGGACAAGATATCAATAAGTCAATTCCCTTTGCTGAATACAGATCGTAACCAATTTAATTAATGTCAACGACACGCTTCCCATCTCGCTTATCAACTCGATTTCAATACAACTCGTTGCTCAAAAAAAAAAAAAAAAAAAAAAAAAAAAAAAAAAAAAAAAAAAAAAAATTATCAAGAATCTTGATGGGCTTGAATTGAAATGATTCCTTGCAAATCGAATGGCGACAATTTCGTGAACTACCTTTCGTATTCGTATCTTTGCTAGCAGAAGTAAGCAAAGGTCTAATTTTTAATAATTCGTGGAGAAAATATAGCTCCATGATCAACGAACTAAATATAAAGAAATTTTTTTGCATCGATTCCCTAATTTAAGGATTCTCATAAACAATAAGCCTAGGAATTAAATAAAGGAAATTTGGATTATTATATATGTGGCTCTCTTACTCATTTAAGGATTCTGATTAACAGAAAGTCTTTATTTATGAAGAAAGACTATCCCGGATCTCATTCCATATAAGGACGCCCATGAATATCATGTTTATAGATGAAAACAAGGTGTGAGTTTTGTTGAATGAAAAATTGTCCGGGATGACGAGTACAGGGCTTGCCTTCTTTTTAAAACGGATTTCAAAAGGGCTGCGCTTAAGGGATTAAACAATGAATCCACTTAGTATATTAATTTAAGTTAAGTAACACCTAATCCGAATCCACCCCCTGATATTTTTGGGGAATTTTTTTTGGTTTGAAATGAAGTCGGACTCATTGCAGTTTATCTTTGTACGTAAACTTCCTATCGAGTGCTTGACTAATATAATATATATGTTCGCTATATATAGGAAGAACTGTCTATTATGGAAACGGACAAGTATGTATCATGATTTTTTTTTTTAAATTCCCGGAACTTTTTATTTACTTTTTATTATTATAAGGAGAGTAGGCAGAAAAAAAAAAACTATGTTTTTCACTTCGAATTTATCCATAAAGCACACGATTAATTTTCTCGATAACGAAATCCATCCAGGATTACATTTCTATTCGGCTAATGAAAATGCAATTCAAGCATTGGTACGTAAAGTAGGGAAAGGAACTTTTTTAGAAACATTGCATGTCACATAGCAATTTTCTTGCTGGATAAAATTATTGTTTGTAGATTAAACGACTACGACTATACCGGCACAAGAACGTAACATAAATGGAATCTTAAGAGCAGAGATAAATTCGATCTGCATTTTTAAATTTTCTATTTAAAATCAATACATGTTGGTATAGCATCTGTCCTGACGTCCTTATCTTTTACTCCGTTTCTATCGTAGAAAAGCAGGGGAATTTCAGAAAATTTATTAGACTTTAGGATGACGTTTAGTTTTGTTCTTCACATCAATTGGAATGTTGTTATCAAACATGCACGGCACAATCTCGTTATAACGTGCAGACAGCAGCAATAGAAAGCTACAAGTTCACAACAATACGCTCTTACAAAACAAGTGCAAATGCAAACAGTTAAGAGCAGCATTGCGCGTACCTTTAAATATAATTGAATGAAATCATAAATCATAAGTAAAAAAAAAAAAAAAGGCTCAAATTTGAAAAAAATCAAATAACAAAATAAACCAGGAACTCTGACAAGAATATTGGGATAATCTTTTCTTTTTCAAACTCGTTCGCAACAACAACATATATATAAATAATTAATTAGGGCTTTATGATGCACATTTAAGCATTTTTTTCTTTCTTCTTCTTACAACTTCTTAGACAAGATTGTGATTTCATAATAAAAACGAGATAAAGGTAAAGCAATTTGTAAATTTCGATAAATGTTCGTTATCGTTCGTCAAATCCTGAGGCCTTAAAAGTGAATGAAATGAATTGAACGAATTTGTTGCGAAAATTGTTATAAAAGCAAAAGACCTTTGTCTATGCAAAGTATTACTCACTTGTAGACCACGGCATTATCGCAACGATCATCGAATGCATAATCGAAACGGAATTTATGATTTTCTAGAAATTTCGTCAAGTCCACTTTATTTCGAGGTTCGTGAACAATCAATGTATCTTTACGGGGCACTGAAATTACATCGATCTCTTTACGATTGACTTCCTTGCGCGATAGTGGCCGTTTGCGCACACAAACTGTTATCTGATGGTCTTCAATCGGTTGACCGTCAGTAAGTGGATTAAATTCGAGGGTACTTTGGTATTCACGTATCATTTGTGCCGTTTCCCAATGGGGATTACCTGGATCTTGATTCATTAAAGCGTTTTTCTCCTCCTTGATTTCCGCCTGCCGGGCGCGGCGTTTCTCGCGATTTTCCTTCAGACGTTCAACCTCTTTGACGACATAGGAACGACGAGAAACTGGATTGCCGGTATTCAATGAACCGCCACCGCCACCACCACCACCACCACCACCACCACCCCCACCGCCTCCGCCACCGCCACCGCTAACGGAACTGTTGCCAATGCTGGTGGTGTTACCGCCACCTCCACCACCACCTCCGCCGCTAGCTGTACCCGATGTTAAACGTGTAGCGTTGTTAGTTGTACGCGAACGCATGATACCTGTGCTGGGTTGCTGAGATGGCGGTGGCATTTCCATTTGTTCGGCCACCGCAGATGACAATAAGCTTGCAGTGTTAATACTAGCGCGATTTGTGCGATGTCCAACAGCTACCTGTGTGGCATTACGTGATAAATTGAGGGGTGCGGTTGCCTGTTTTTTCAGTTCGGGCGCTGCATGCACAACATCTTGTTCATGCTGGGCCAATATATCGGGATTTAAAGCTAGAATGGCTTCCAATTCGACTTCTTTACCTTTCGTTTCTCCCCTTTCATACCATTCGACCGTGATCGATTTGCCGGATTCATTAATTTTTGAAACGACTGCCGCATGTACACGGCCATCTGTACGTTTAATTTTGACACTGTCGCCAACTGAAATGTATTCCATTGTGGGTGTTAGCGTAGGTTCTCGTGTTGTTTTCAACTCTATACAAAGTAGTTCAAGTCAGATATAGGGTTAATGCACATACACGCATACACGTAAACACCTCACTCGACTTCTTACACAGATTATAATTTTTAATGGTATTGCTTAACTAAAATTGACTGTCTTTTTGCAACACCTCGCACAAACACACACTAACTAATTCGGCACTTATTCGCTTTGTGTGATTTCAGTGTGAAAACGTTGTGGTTCTGATTAGTGTTGAGATTGTGCGGTGACAAGTAAAAACACAATTTTTCTCTCTCTTTATTCACAATTTCTATAAAAGAAAACGCACTTAAACGCCTAAATAAAATTTACAACATCCATTAAACAAAAAAAAAAAAAAAAAATAATAATAATAAATATCAAAAAAAAAGTTTTTCACTTCACACTTCTTTTTTAACACAACCGCACAAACACACTTACACAAGCACACATCCAAAATATATATATAGATTACAGTTGCACACTTCTTCCTTGTCGCAATTTTTATTATTCTTTTTTTTTTTTTTTTTTTTTTTTTTTTTTTTAAAAAAAAATTTTTTTTCCATTTTTTTTCATCCTATTTTATAAAGTATATATTGTTTTTTCTCTTTGAATATTTTTAGCATAAGAGTATTTTTTGATTTTTTGTATATTTTTTGCTTTTAAAAGAATTGATCTGCTGTAATTCTTTATAAGTTATTTTACTTGAGGTTTTCCGTTGTTACACGATTACTCAGAAGAAGCTTTGATTAGCTGGCTGCCTGAATGTTTGGTTTGCTGGTTAATTATGACAGGCCACACAGAAAACAGCTGCAGCGCTGCGGCGAATGAATCGTTTTTCGCTTCCTTTATATTTATTCTTTTAAATCTATTTCGTATTCGGTTTGTTGACTTTGCTGCCAATTGAATCTTGTTTGCAATCTATAGTACGTAGCTATAATTCGCTCTCAATTCGAAATTCAACTGACAATTAAGTGTTAAATATGGCAGCGCATTTTGCTTACCTCTCTTTTTTTGCTTTCGCTTTTCAATCTCTTTAAATGTTGTTATTGCTATTCTTATGTCTCTTTCCTTTTTTTTCGCTTTCTCAACCAGTGTTGTATTAATCAAATGTGCAGAATATTATAATAATATGATAAAAAATGAAAAAAAAGGGGGGAAAAAAAAACTTTTAAAATAAAATTCGAAACAAAAAAAAATGATCGCGTTTTTTGATTTTTGTTTTTTCGATTGTATTTTTTTACATCAGTCAAAATTTTAACTAAAAATTCAAATAAAACTAATTCTAATTATTTTCAATTTTTACACTCTTTGTTTATTACACCAAAAATATTATTATGATTTCACAATTGTGTGAATTAAAAAAAATTATTGATGACTTTTATTTGAAAGCATACTATGTTAATTGCTTCCAGTTATATAATTGTTAATTTGTTTTTTATTTTTTTTTTTTTTAAGACAATTGAAAAAGACTTTCACAATTTTGCTTTAGTGTTATGCTAATTTATTAATTTCGATTAAAAGTCAATAAACTAATTTGTTAATGAAAATAATCGGGAATGGATAGAATATGCAATTTTAATGGCTGCTTTTCCGATATGTTTTATAGGATTCGAAACATTGCAACCCTAATGAAACGCGAAATAATAAACTAGAAGGACGCAATAATGGTTATAAAGGTTAATTTATGATTTCGTTCGGATCAAATGTAACGGTTGTTCAATTAAACTCTATGTGGAGTGCTTTAAAAAGCGTGGGTGTGGCGAAAAGTAACTCTGTTCTATAAAAACAAAAGGATTAGAAAGCATTTTTATTTTTTTATATTTTTTTTGTATTTTTTTTTTTTTTTTTTGATAATTTTCTTAAATTTCTTAATTTAAAGCCAGTATGAACAATACAGTTATGAAGAATAGTTTGTATTAAACAAGAACTTTTCAATTAAAATAACCATCACGACATCGCAAGCTAAGAACAAACTTACAAGCCTATGCATGCAAAGGTATGTCAATGAAGTCTATGAAAATTTTTCGATTCAATTTTTTGCAGCTTGCTTGAGCAAAGCTATCTTACACAAGTTGAAGCTTGAAATAGAAATAGAAAAAAAAAATGCCTTTTTAAGTTTAATATGTTGTGATATTTATCTCATTAAGTATGTATGTAGTTCTTAAAGAACTTCATTTCGTTTTTGCATTTTTTCACTTGTTTTCTAAACAGACACTTGCTCTAATCGTGTATTGTGTTGTTACGTTTTCTTTTTCCATTTTTAACAATTGTCAATTAAATATCGCCTAATTTGGTAAGATAATCGCTACATTTGTTAATTATTGTTGTTGTTTTAATTTCATTATACATGATTTTGTGTGAATGGTATTTCGAGCAGATATACACGTACGTTAATTTATATTAGAATTTTGCCGCTTTTGTACAGCGGTGGACTCTGTTTTAAAAATTACTAAATTTTATTGTTAGATGATTTATTTGATTGTGTGCATGTTCTTTTTTATTTTTTTTATTTATTTATCTATTTTTTTTTTACATAATAGCCATCGCCTTAATCACAGTTTCCCCGACAACTGTTACGTTTGTATAAATAATGGAATAAAAAATAAAAAATTAAAAAAAGAAAAAAAAAAAAATTACAAATTCATTTCCCACACACAAATGCTACAGGCCTACAAAATAAAACAGTAGAAAAGTTATGTTTTTGGTTTGGGCCAAAACTTCTGACATACTCATACACTCTTCATACACCTTACCTAATACAAAAGTCTAAATATAGCTTGAATTTATTTGATAACGGGAAATTATCGTGCTTTACACTAAAGCATGGTTAAATATGTAAAATTTTTCTCTTATTTTATAATATTTAATTCTAATCCGTTATGTACCATACTTGATATGTCGTGTAACACGCATTGTACACAATATATATACTTGATCAAGTTGGAATTTTTAACCGAATTAATCCTTAGTTAAAGACTGCAGATCAGAAAATGGGCGAAAATGCGCCGTTGAAAACCGTGAAAGCGGAATCATTCAAACTCTGCCTGAAACGTTCAACATTCTCGATATCCCTGCGCATCGGCGTAATATAAAATATGATATGCTTACGCATAAGTGTTTCTGTGGCAAGTTTTCTACAGATATAAAGGAGGTCTGTTCATTAATTAAGTAATTCAACAGAACTAATCGTCGTGCTTAGCGTTCCCATCCGCTCGTCTTGAAATTGCTCGCATACCTCGCAGCAGACTATAAATGAAGTTTGCGAAAAATACTTTTCATCCTCGTGTTAGGGAGCAGGCAGGCCCATCAAAACATTTTCATGCACAGTCTGTAGCTCTTGATGGGAAACTTTTAGAACAAGAAGATTTATTCTTTATATTAAGGGTAGCTTGACATATTTTCTCAGTGTAGTATAGTTGTTGTGTTACTTGCGATCCCAAAAGTACGCATTGAAAAGTAAAGTGCTTATATTGCGGATCGGTAACGGGTTTTGATTCACTTTAAATTAGTTAAATTAATCTCTCAATCGCTTTTTTCTTTATTTTGTAGTCGTTTTCAAACCAAATGCCAAATATGGTGGACATATATTCTAAAAAGTCACGCATGGTGGGGATGGTTTTTGTAGAGAAGCTTCTCCGTCGATTTATATCTGTGATTCCACATTAGATAAGGAAGGATTCGACTCAAAGCTCTTCTTCAAAAAGCTTGCTTGATGAATATTCAAACCCTATATTTGCATATAGAGCCTTTTATATCCGATATTATGATAAGGTAAATGGTGTTGTTGTTTTCATACTCACCACTCGGGAATGATTACTAATTTTATTATTTCGTTCGTAACTGTAAATGTGGAAAATGTAAATTTAACAAATTATAAAAATTACAGTGACTAGTTTAAATTACTGGCACAGCAGTGTTTCGCCGTTCACTTGTTGTTTACATCCTGATGAAGTCTCCAAAAATTGAAGTGAAAATTTAAAGCATAACTTATGCATTTCTGGTCATAATAGTCGTCCTTTGTATTATATGGGTTTCTTTGTTTCAAAAGACGGAGTTATTTCAACATCGTTACGCTGTTCCAGAGGACATCGGGAGAGATAGTCTAAGAAAGATATAATAATTGTGAACCTGTCCTTGTTTTTTTTTTTTTTATTGATTCATTATTGAGTTGAAGAATGGAAACAAAAAATATGATATCAAATTCGTTCTTGTAGACAAGATTCGCGACCGAACTAAACCGATTTTGATATTTACTCTAATCATATAAATCATATATTTAAAAAAATAAAAAGTAAAGGAGCAGATTATTCGCTATCTATTGAATGCGTAATTAGTTTCATTGGAATATTTGGTAGATCTACATAAAAGCTTATAGAGAATCCCTGCCGTTGGAAATCTTGTTTAATTGTTGTCTTCGCCCAAACAAAATGGAGAGCATTTTGTGCTTAGCTTTAACATAAGCACATGGCAAATGGAAGAGATAGGAAATTTTCAAATATTAAAAGTTTTATACGTTTTTGCAGTGTATTTCTTATCAAGCTTATTGAGCGTAGGTTAAAGGTATTATTTTTTAAACCGATGACCATTCTACTCTACGTGCTAGTAGTGTTGCCAAATTTCATTTGTAATTAGTTTTAATTAATAGTTATTTCCCTATAAATGCAATTTAATCAAATAGTAACTTATGCATAGAGTTTCGTCAATTCTCGGCTTGATATGCATAAGTTTTTTTGTAAAGATTTCTTGGTTTATATTAACTAGTTTTTCAATGTTGGTAACTCTGTTTTCTGCATATATATATATATATATATATGCATGTATATACATATATATATATATATAGATATGTATATACGAATAGAGCAATTCTATTTGTAGGCATTTATTTTCTTTCTCGTCATGGTTTATTTTCTCTCTCTTTTTAAGAAAAGAAATTTGCGTTAGTTCTGTTCTTTTGTCAAAAGGAAAACTGAAGAGCTCTTATAAATCATTAAAGATTAGTTAGAAATTATTTAAATCATCTTTAAAACTCATTTGTTTTGAAATTATTTACAATTCTCACTTTATAAAATATGGATATAATGGATATACAAGCGGTAGAATCTAAGTTAAGTGACGTCACTGTGACCCCAATACCACGGTCACAGGTGCAGAATTTTTACAATTATCAGCAACAACGCGAACAACGTGAGCAACAACCTCAAATCCAAATATCCGCAATCCATCATACCCCACGAGAACGTCATCAGACGGGTCATCATAGCAATACAAATGAACGTGACGCGGGCGGACGAGATTTGTATAATCTCACCAAACGGGAACGTGATTATCATCATCAATTGAATAATGTAGTTGCGAATAGTAACACTAGTGCTGCCGTAGCGGTAGCAGCTTTACAATATACACAAAAATTACAAGCTCAATTGGCTTTATTGCAACAGCAAGCTAATAATAGCGTTGGGACAACCCCCTCGATTACCCTAACGCCGGCTAGTTCAATGAGATCAAATAATAGCATCAGCAATAGCAATAGTAATCAAAATAGTTCAAATCAAATTGGTCAACATCCTCTGCAACTTAAGTACCCTCAGTCCTCATCACCTGTGATTATAACCACGCAAACCTCAGCAAATATAACTACACCGATGACCTCAACGGCTAATTTACCTACAGTGGGAGCTACAGGCGTTAATAATGGTCTTAGCAAGTATGCTCAACTGTTGGCCGTTATCGAGGAAATGGGTCGTGATATACGTCCTACTTATACAGGTTCACGTACTTCTACCGAACGCCTAAAACGTGGCATTGTTCACGCCCGTATACTGGTACGTGAATGCCTTATGGAAACTGAACGATCAGCGCGCCAATGAAATTTAGCCAATAGCGAAGTCATGCTCACGCCGATCATCAACATAATCAAAGAGTTATTGGATATACCCAAAAAATTAATATAGTCGAAATGTTTTTTTTTCCTCCCTCCCCCCCCTTTACATTATAAATATAATTTCATTTCAATAGCTTTAGTTAGAACAGACGTGGAGATATAGTGTGTGAGAGTGTTTTTTTTTTTTTTTTTTTTTTTTTTTTTTTTTTTTTTTTCTGCATCGTCTACTTCAATATATATTTCATTAATGATAAGCGGAAGCAGAACGTACGATAGACTAAATTCTGAAATGATCAATCTATGCACGTACGCGTGTCCGGAGAGTAGAGGCGCGATAGGATAGTCATTTATGTTTAGGTTAGATTAGAGTCTTCGATGAAAAATAAACGAATACAATAAGCGCGCTTATAATGACGAATAAAAGATTTAACGGCGCGCCTTCTAATAAAAGTAAAAACCTTACTTCTTGATCTAATATTTTGAGGACCAATATTGAAAACAAGATAAATGTTTGGATAATCAAAGAAATTCAGTATCATTACGTTCATATATATTCGACATTAGGTTTTGTTGTATAATTTCCTTCCAAAAAGGAGATTACAAGCCCAGTTTCGAAGGTGCAAAGAAATTTATTGTAATTCGATTATGAGTTTTATTGCTTTTTTTGCTTTTTTTAGAGAAGTTTTTTAGACAGCAGTCTATGTAGAATAGCTCAGGTTTATATATATATATATATATATATATCTGTGTATATCTGTATATATATATATATATATAGAGAGAAGAATAAGAGAAAAAAAAAAAAGCTACAAATATAAAGAATTTTGGAAATTATATAAAATAGAAAAATTTAATACAATTTTATAGTTGTAAATGAAGAACCGTAAACCAGAAAATCCACCCAAAAAAATATCTAATAAATAAATAAATAAATAAATAAATAAATAATATATATATATGTATATGTAATGCACATTCTGTTTTATATACTATATATATACTTGATATACTAAAGATGAATTTTTAGCATTTTCTAGTGTTTGAATAAAAAGTTGTAATGTACTCTTGAAAAGGATGTTGTGACGTGACCGACATTTGCATCGCTTAAAATATCATTATAATAGTCACAAGTTTTTCTAAAGGCATGCGGGAATAAACTTTTGAAATCACGTTTTCGATATAAGAATGGGTTAACCCCATTGCACAAAGAAATTGAGATTACCAAACTTCGTATGTATGTATGTACTTCATGCCAGGAAAATCCAATTATTAAAATCTATAAAGACAGGACAACCAAAACTTATTTTAATATACAAAAAAAAAAAAAAAAAAGAAAAAAGATCATTCCTGCAGAGTTCAGTAAAAAATGGCACTGATTATCGAACGAACCAATAATTATGAACATTTTTATATGTTTGCTTGTAACAGTTGATATCCAAAATTTTTGTGAACGTGGAAACAACTTTCTTGTTTTATTTATATATATGTTAATTATCAAATATATAATTACAATAGAGTTTCGGGCAGCAATCCGGATATGGTCTTGTATAGTCGTATGTCGTCTGACGGCAATAAGGATTTAATAAAATGCGATCGCAGCTGAAAATGAAATTGAAATCGAAGAATATAGAAAATAAATGGACATAAATATATATATATATATATACAAGACAAGACAAGATCATAGAGTAAACTTACTGTTTCAATATTAGAACGTAATCATCCCGACAATAGGCTCTTATGCACATATATTCAATGTTAGTCGGGTATATAGTTTCATTGATAGGTACCAATAGACCTAATTCTTCCTGATAACAATGATTGGACATAACTGATATCATATGAGGAAAGAGAATAAATACAATAAATTAATGTAATTAATTAGATATATACATATATATATATATATATATGTATGCGTATGTATATATATATATAACTTACTTTTATGTTTAGTATTTCCATAGTATTGTAAACTGAAAGCGTTCGTCATAACTATTAAGGAGTAGGTCCAATAAAATGACATCAATAAAATGTATTTAGTTTTATTTTTCAAAGTCATTGTTTGTAAATTTTCTATCTAAAATAATTGATAGATTGATTTCTATAACCACTCACTCACTGATTCACTTTTACACGAAAGGTATGGATTCTATTTGCAGCATCCAATGCTAACCATATTTTACAGTATTTACAATTTCGATGAGTGTGTGAGATTTTAAGTCGACATAGTAATCTTTGTTGTTGTTTTCGGTATTCGCAAATTCCTTAAATTTGGGATGAATAGGTGAAATTTGACTTATTGCCTATGCTGTAAACCGTTGGCAGCAAAGACGTAAATTTGTTTATGTCTTACAGTTTACTTGTTATGTCTTACTTATCCTACATATTAAGTAAGTTACGTTTAAAAGCATAAGAAG